GTTTTTTTTTTTTTTTAGTTTGTAGAAAATAATAATAATAAAACTTATTTTAAAAAAGAGAGGAAATGAGGGCCAGAAATAGCATTATAGCTCTATGTGATGTTCAGCCCTGTAGTTACAGATGGGGAGTGTGGCTATACCTTGGCTGCATGCCCACTCAATCCTGTTTTTTTAAGGTGTTCTACACAACATTTTGCATTTGATAGAATTGTATCTCCTTAAAAGATAATTCACTGTGATTTTCTTTCTGAAGTCTGCAAAAGCAACAGCTGATCGGAAGTCCATGTCCAAGCCTGGTGGATTTGAGGGAGATCTGCGTGGCCAGTCTGCAAGTGTTGCTGAAAATCTCTATCCCCCTGAAGTGGAGTTAGGCACCTCCCACGGCGACTGCATCATCGGTGGCAATGAGTCTGAAGAGCCACTCACAGCTCACATGTCCAGAAAAACCGCCGTCTCTCAATTTGAAGGGAAAGCTTTAGGCCTTGACAAAGCCATTCTGCATAGCATTGACTGCTGTGGTAAGGAAACTATAGTTCCTTATCCAATTATTGATACTAATGCTTTGGTGAAAATTTAGGCTAGTGCAAGGAGGTTCCGCTTGCATAAAATAGGTGTCTCCGTGTGACTCTGATCCGTCTCCTATTAGTTTCATGGTGCAGTGGGATAGATCCGCAGTGCACTGCCACTAGCGATATTGATACTGACACCTGTGGAACCAACGTGTGTGCAGCATCAGCAGTGTGTGCTATCTTTGATGCTGCATAAACATAGCTTTCCACTATGGCACCGTCAGTAGAGTTCCTGAAAGATGAAAGATTCAATGGTGAGCTGTTTTAAGGCATGGGGTTTTTTTAATTCACTAATTTAAATTGACTAACTCTATATGACTTTTTAAATTCGATCTTCACAATTTTATGTACATTGTCTTTGCATTTTTCCAGCATCGGATGATACCAAAAAGAAAATGTATAGTTCTATCCTAGTTGTGGGAGGAGGTCTGATGTTTCATAAAGCCCAAGAATTTCTTCAGCACAGAATTCTCAACAAAATGCCTCCTTCTTTCCGAAGAGTTGTGGAAAATGTGGAAGTCATTACACGACCGAAGGTACTTTTATATGCTTTCAGGTCATAGCAGAATGGCTAAATGTAACATTCATTAAACACAAAGCACTAAATCCTGCAATAGAGACAGGTCCAGTTTCTAGAGATAATTGGATATTAAAATTAATATGTATATGTTAAAGTGGCTACTTATAACCCTCCAACCTCAGAAGATGGCAGGGCTCCTGGCTAGGGTGGGAAAAATGAGGTGCTGAAGATTGCCTCGGGGCTTCTCCTGCACTGCAAAAGACTTAGTTATCTAATTTTGGCCAGCCAAGGTTTTTGCCCAAAGTATGAGGATGGGCAGAGGCACTGTTAGAATACTATGTATCATCTCCTCCCGGAATGCCCGCAGAGGTCCAGCTTCAAGACTGGTCTTCTGAGCAGCAGCTGGCCTGCTTCTTTCCATGTTGGCTGCAAGGGTAGAGAGAAGGCACTCTGAGTTCGGCGTCCCAGCTCCTGCCTCCAAGCGTGTTTCCTTGGTTAGAGCTGAGGCTCTGACTTCTGTTGCTGCCTGGACTGTGTCAAGCACCCACAGGATTGTGCCTAAATTAATTAAATACTTGGGCCAGTATAAATGGCTTTTTGTATGCTGCTCTAGTTCATGGCAAAGTGAATGAATTGGAAATTTTGAGAAGGAGTTTTAACTAATACCGAATACAGCAGGACCCCCCTTATCTGCTGGCTCAGTTACTGCATTTGCAGTTAACTGTGCTTGACTTTAGCTAAGAAAGAAGTTGTAAAGTGCTTCCTGTAAGTGAAAATTCTTGCTTTAATAAGGAAAGAGAAGAATCACATGCTGAGGTAAGAACAAATGAAATTCTGAAAAAATGTACTGTATATAGTATATATAATATAGTGTTCACATTATCCATGGTTTCAGGCATCCACTGAGGGGCTTGGAACAAATCCATGCCTATATGTGGGTCCTGCTGTATCTTCCTTTCTGAAAAAAGATATTGGATTACCACAATAGCAGTATACTTACCCTTTTTTGATGTTTGGGATCTATATACAAAATACTATTGTATTTTGAAGCATATACAATATTTTGCAGTAATTTGGTCTTATTTTTAAAGTAGAAATTATATAAAAAATAAGTGGAATTGTGATGTTCAGATTTCATTAGGTGTCTTGTCTCTTCTTTTAATCCCTGTTTTAGGACATGGATCCTCGTTTGATAGCTTGGAAAGGTGGTGCTGTTCTCGCCTGCCTAGATACAACACAGGAGCTCTGGATATATCAGCGGGAATGGCAGCGCTTTGGCGTCCGTATGTTACGCGAAAGAGCTGCTTTTGTGTGGTGATCACATGAAATTTTAGGTATGATGGAATTCTGAACATAACTCTCCCTTGATTATCCACAAGAAGCTCAAAGTCCTAATTTTTGTGTTTTAATAAAACATAAACAAAAATAGTTCTTTTTGCAGTGTTTAAAAAACAGGGCATTAGTATTTTCCTAAAATATTTCCTCCAATTTTATACTTCGGAGTGGCCTAAATGAGACCAGAGATCTGATCTGGCCAACCTTAGCTGTGAATAAGCCCAGTGATTGTTGAGCGTATGTTAAATAACTGGGCTTACATGACATGGCAGCCCACCATGAGCAATTAGACATGGAGGGTTGCCGTGCTGACTCAGACCACTACTTGCAGAGTGGTTCACATTGGTTTGTTCTAGGTTGCTCTTGAGTTGCTCTTCCATTGAGACCCAGGAAACAGAGCTCATCATGGGCTGTGGAAAGCAATGAGCAAGGTGCTCAGCAAGAGTGAAAAAACCTTTGAGCATTTTTAGGGGGGCAGGTGAAGATAGACCTAAACATTGTTGCATTTTCCTGTGCCCCCAGAATGCTCAAATTTGCCAGATAGGTTTTTTTTATTTTAAAGGAACCTTCCTTTTTGAGCATTACCAAGTGTTTGCAGAAAGGAGATAGGCTGTAGATCTGCCCTTCTAGAGAATGTATGCAAAATACAAATAAATATGTACGCCAAATATGGATACAGTGGAGGGGACTGAGAATATCAGGACAATATTTACCACACCAAAAATGGGGCCATAAACTCACCACTGGATTCCAGGCCAAAGCCTCCCCTTTACTGCTTTGTTTTCAATTGACATTTGACACATGTACACAAGGTGACCTATATGTAGCTTTGGTTCATCAAGTCTATCCATAGAAGTTGCCTACTGCACTTTGAGAGCAGAAAGTTAACATGACATTGATGTGGGAAGACTCCACATTTCAGCAAGCAGTGCACACCTGTGAAAAACCAAAGGGTTTTAAAAAAATTATGATTACCATTTCTTCTGCTTCACAAATTCTTTTTTTTCCAAAAAGGGTACAAAGGCGTTGACAGTCACTGGAAAGTGCCACTTAGGCATCAGTGGAGAACTGTCATTCGCAGCAACGTAGGGCTCTGCATTCCCACCTCGTCCAGGGAAACTGGACAAAAAGGAGTTGCAGTCAGAGCAGGGACAGGGAGGCAAGATGTCTTCTTTAGCACACAACCCCGATATCTGATAGGGGACAGAGGGGAAGGGGGGACAAAGAACTTGTTGTAATCTCGATCAAGCACACTGTGGGCTCCATGAAAAACCCACACCCCAGAACCGACTTGCAGGGATTGCTGTACCATCCAAACTTGACAAGTTTGCAGGATGGGATAGTGTAAGATGGGATGGCACTTGTCACAAGAAAAATAAGAAAATGTGGCAAAGCTTATTTTTCCATGAAAACAAATCATTAATATAGTTTATTAGCAAAACAAAATTAGCTTTTTACAGAATCCTTTGCTGAGACATCTGAGCTTCTTTGAGATCAGTTTGTTGGGTTGAATTAAGAAATTCTCAGCATCAAGTCATCCATTACGTGTTCCTTTGGCAGTTGCTTTTACTGCAAATGTCGAAAAGAATACTAATTTGTAGGGATTGTGAAGAGATTACAATGTTCAAGCATCATGGACATATTTGAGATATTTATGCCTCTACATATTACCCAAACATGCTTTTATTTTCTAATGGGAAAGACACTGAATAGCTTCATTCCCACTAAACACCCGCACCAAAGTTCTATCCTATAATTGGGCAATAACAGCTCTCTCTTCTCACCCGGCAGAACCTGCTGGCTTCCCAGACAGAGGGCGCAGTCAGTAGAAGCAATAGTGGCTCACTAATACTCACAGCAGCCCAACTAGCTGGTTTCTGCGCCTTAGTTGGCTCAGGACACATGCATGCACGTTCATAACAAGAGGTCTGAGTTGATGAAAGGGAGGGATGTACCTGCTGTAAGTGCAGACTAGTTTCCTAACAAATAAATAAAAAGGTGAAGTTTGTCTAATGTGTTGATAGGATACTAATATTCATGATTTACACCTTTTTTCAAGTCAGGTTAAGACTTTCTTTGTGAATGGTGGCAATTGCAGGCAAGAACACACCGGGCAAGATACTCTGCCTATGCCTACCCATTCATTTGAGGAGCAAACCAGGCCCAAGCAGACTACTAGACCATGAACCTCCTTTTTCAAAATGACTGCTACCCCATCCAGAATAGGCCCAGCCAGTATTCCTGGAACCCTTTGCCAAATAAGAGCACTTGTCTGTTCCGGATTAGGCTTCAACTACCTCTGTACCAGGTCTTGGAGTTAAATCTTAAAGCCAGGCTTGAAAATAAGTGAAATCCTGATCTTTCACATATAATACAGCTGCCATCTCCTCCCCACCTGCCGCTCCACCAACGTTGCCATATGATTCTGATCTAACTGCAAGCAACTGAAAGCTATTTTGCTTTGTTTGACGGTTAACATGCTTTTCTTTTGTTGGCATTAATAACCAGCTCAAGTTGCTGCATTAGTACAGGCCTCACATCCGAGAAACAGTGCAAGAACATAAACTGTGGCCCTGTGCCACACTAGGGAACTCTCTTTTCAGTTCTATGTACTCCACAAGCAGCACACACGTGTGTAGAAGTAGGTGTCCATACATGGAGCAGTTGCAGTAAGTCATCCTTAAGCATGGGGTGTTTGAAAGTTGTCAGTGTGCAGAATAAATTCACTTTAGTAAGAAAGACTGAATTTTAGGCTTGACTATTTTTGCTATCCTAATATATAGTTCTATACTTGTGATTTTTGTTTCATTTTAAATCTCCAGCCACACTTTGACCTTGTTACTTCACTACAACTGGCATTTGGTGAAAGACAGAGATCTCTACAAAAGTAGTCAATATCCTTCATTAGAAAATACTTTGGACAGATGTTCAAGGGAGTTGGGAGACTCTTAAATGGATTTGTTTCATTGAAAGAGACAACCATGTATTTGTGGAGAGAAGACTGATTTTTCCAGTCACTGCAGAAGAGGTTAAATGCAAGAGTGAACAAGCATTCAGAGTTCTTGTTGCTTTCTATAGTCCTTTTACAAGCTGAATCACAGGTAGGACTTGTGTGGTTTGGGCTGAGAAAAACTACTTTATCAGCAATTTCTTTCTGACTTGCAAGCCACTGTACCGGGCCTAATTCGGCAATTCTTCGTTTCTGCCATGCATCTATTATGACATTGCTTTGGCAGCATTCGTGTAGAAATGCAGCAAATACAAGGACAGTGTGCTGAAAACACACTTTGTGGGAGTATACAACAAGGACTGTAACAGGTATGTGTTGCACCGTTTGATGAAAGATAGACCAGTTGATGGCTGTACCTGTGAAGAAGAAAATATTTTTAAGAAAAATCACAATTTATATCACTTTCAACACTCCATCTAGAAGAGAATAGCTCAGACTTCCCACTCAATACCGGCCAAAAGAAAAGACAAGAAGGAATGAGTAAAGGAAGCACTCACCTGACCATCCAAATGAACTGACTGGCACACAAAGTATCAGTCAGAGAGGAGAAGGAACATTCTGTACTTCTAAGAACTAAAACAGCCTTACCAAACTGGGTGCCCGCTAATGCTTGTAGTCTGCAACAGGTTTGACAGTTTGGCCTGGACTTGCATATAACCCATTTGTGGAACTGCCCAGAACTTGTAAATGAGGACTTGTAACCTGAACCTGTCTGCTGAACCTCAACAAATCTACTGGTCTGCTGCCTACATACAGGGTGGGCCAAAAGTAAGTACTGACTCTGTGCACAATGGGGAACCTCACACAGTGAATGCACTGAAGGAGTTCATCTCGTAAGCATTTATTGACATTTGTGTCCATCTATTAACCAGAATTTGTGTCACGGTATCGGGAACACGTTCCAGGAAGGTTGCAATGTTGACGGAGAACATTTCGAGCACCTAAGAGACTAAACATGACCCATTCAGTATTGTATATGTACTTTTGACCCATCCTGTAGTTTTAACAGTATGTGCATCAGTGGTTGTACATTCCTAATGGTAATACATTCTGAAGCAGATACTCAAATACACACACAGTGCTGTATGGTGATTATCATGGATGAAGAGTATTGTGTACTATCAGTTTTACTGGTGGAACATTTACCAGAAGATGGGAAGCTAAGCTGCCTTTCCCCATAGCTCCAGTCCCCTCTGCCATTTTAAACAGGCGTGATGGCAGGGAAGATGACACCAACACATACTGTTTAATCTGCTTTTGCTCTACCCTTTGGAGCAACGATGATAGAACTCCACAAAATTAGGAAATTCCACCTTTCTCGTGCACTCAGATTAGTCTCTCCTATGATCTGTTTAAAGGTGTACCTCAACTTCCAAACTTGTGTAGCCAACACTCTTTTCCACAAGTGATTTCATAAGCGTTTTCTCTGAGCATGGGATTATTTCAGAGTTGGGAACAGAAAGTTGTGTTGAAGTGGCTTGGCCAAAGAGAAGAGGTTCTACAAGAGTCTTACAGCTTTCCTGGCAGAATGAGAGCGTGTTACCAGGTCTCCTCTTACCGTGCCTCCCTTTGGAAAGCAGTACAGCAGCAATCACACATAGTACACAAAGTAAAGCAGCAAATATGTAAACATATCTGTCCACTGGATCTGTTGTGATTTTCCCTGAAAAAAGAGATGGAATTGTCAGTTTCCTAAGGAAACATTTATAAAAACGATTTAAAAAAAAAGCTAAACATTCCTTTCTTTATGCACGAAAGATTGAGAATTAACTATTCAAACTCTTTGAGAAGGTGGACTTCTATTATGAATGAAGGGATGGTAGAACACAAACAGGTCCTAGATGAATCATTAATCACAAGGTATATGGGATGAAAGGGAGTCTACAACAATCTTCCCCAACCTGGTGCTCCTCCAGATGTTTTGGACTTCAGCTTTTATCAGCCCCAGCCAACTTAGCCAATAATATTTGTGAGCCGCCCCGAGGCTTTGTTGTGATGGGGGCGGCATAGAAATGTTTTAAATAAATAAATAAATAATCAGGAATGCTGGGAGTTCTAGTCCAAAGCATCAGGGTGGGGAAGAAGAGGACTCCAGGCCAGCAGAGGCTGCTGCGAAGATATACAATGAAAGGGAGTTTGGAGCATGGTTATAAAGGTTGCTCGTTCAGTGGCAGTATTTCTCTGATTACCAGATGCTGAAGAGAGACAAGAGAACTTGCTTGTATCTCACTTAGGAACATTCTAAGGGCGACTATATACTGCTAAATACAGAATGTTGAACCAAACAGATCTTCAGCCTAATGCACCAGGGTCGTTCCTGTTTTTATTTATTCCCTACTTTTCCAAGGAGCAAGAGCAATGCATGTGATGGCCACACAGGCTGTTTCTTTTACTTTCAGAACAACCCTGTTGGGGTAGCTTGTATTGAGAGACCCTGACTGCCCAAGTTCATCCATTGAGCTTCACAGCTCAGTGGGAATTTAAGCTTGGGTCTTCCCCAGTTCTAGTTTCACACACTAAGTGTTCTACTCCACTGGCTTCCATGCCGTGCTCTTGCTCGTATTGGATCATAAGTAAGCAAGGTATCAACTAACCATTGGTAGCCTCTTCAGGACACAGTAGCTGAAAACTTGAGTACCTGCGGCAGTCATTCTGGCATTTTGGGAAAAACGGAATTAACTGGAATACAATAAAATATATGTGATGCCATTAAAAATATTATTTGCAGAAATATCTTTCTTATTCTATGAACTTTATATCATTTATTTCCTCCCCCAGTTTCTTACGTGCAGTCCTGGGAATAACTCCCACTGAATGCAATGGGTTGGGTCCATTAATGGAGAAAGGAAATCTTTGGATACAACCCACTTTTTCTAAAAGCATTACTTTTCCCATGTATGAATTTAAAGCAGGGTTTGGCCAGCCAAGTTCCAGCACAGAGGTTGCAGGACCTTGCTGTGGGAACTCCCAGTTCGGGAGTCCATAGCACTGATTCCTGAGACACTTTTGGCAACAGTAAGAACTATTATATGATTACATGGCATTTATATCCTGCCTTTTTTCACCTAACCCAAGGTGGTTTCCATAGTTCTCCATTCCTTTGTCCTCCTCACAACAACAACCCTGTGAGGTAAGTCAGGCTGAGAGAGGGTGGCTGGCCCAAAGTCACCCACTGAGCTTCATGGCCAAGTGGGGACTGGAACTGGAATGCAGAGCTTGCAACACTCAAACAGCCACACTGGCTCCCCAAGCATTTTAAAGATGCATTTTAAAAGCCTTTTTTTTAAAAAGAAGCTTGAATTGCTCAAAGGTGGAATCATGCACATGTCCTTAGGGTAGGCAAGAAGCATCTGCAGGAGGCTGAGCAGACTGGGATAGCGGAGAGTGCAGGCTGGAGCATCTGCTGCAGCAGTTGCTGCTCTTCCCACAAGACGTGCTAATGGAAACACAGCACAGAAATATGGAAACTGGTTCCAGATGTGCAAACAAACCACAGTGAAGCATGGAAACCATAGAACCAAGCCATGGTTCCAGACAGACTATCCTTACCATGCTTCACCCTTCTTGTTGGGTTCACACATAACGGCAAGCCATGCCACGGTGTTTTCCACAATTTATTTATTCATTTATTTAAAACTTTTATATGCCATCTCTTATGTGTGGCATCTTGGGACGGCTCACAATCAGTAAAATCAAATACATTAAAAACAATCTAAACTATAAATAACATATAGCCAAAAAACCATGACGGTTGCATTAAAATACTAATCTTTAAAATAACAGTTAAATAAAATGGTTTTGACCTGGTGCCAGAAAGAGAACTTCAGCGCCAGGTGAACCTCTCTGGAGAGCGCATTCCACAATTGATATATGTGAATGCCTCCCCACCACACTTCTTGCTTGTCTTTTGTTGTTAGATACCAGATATAAATACGGGTTAAACATCAGTAGGCAGGAATGCTAAACATATGCAAATTTAAAGGCAGAACAGGGGCTAAGTGTGTAGAGATACACAAATTTCAGGACTGACAAATTAGGCAGATTGGTAAACATAGGCAAATTTCAACACTGGCAAGTGAGGTAGATTGTTAAAAAATGCAAATTTCTTGATAAAGCAGTAAAATGTAAAATTGTGCAAAATTCCTAGTAATAGACATTCACTTTTGTACATCTGCAGAGGATTGGAAGGGGAGAAGTTAAACATCCTCAGGTGGAAGGCACTAAGGTGTGATAACAGCTACAGTAGCACTAACAAAACAGCAGCGAAGATTTTTCCACTACTCTTGGCAGGTGACTCCCTAGCTATTTTCAGCAACTCACAATAAAATCACACTGCTTGGTTTTGAAGTCATAATGAACCGCCCTGAGAAAAGGCTGCCCTAAGCAACCCTAGTACAAAACATTGCTTGTTTGTGAAAAACAGGCAGCTTACAGGAAACACTCTGCATTTGAATGCCACCCTGAAACCACCCACAACAATAACCTTAATTTAATGTGACTAAAACAAGGTCAGTATGTGCTAAACCCCACCCCCACTATTACCATTTCTCCACTGTAAACAATATAGCATTATGATAATAAGTATATACAAGGGGTCTTCAAAAAGTTTCTGTGTTTTTATATTTTATAATATTTTTTTTGCTGATGGCATTAAAAAGATGGGAAGACACTGGGGGAAAATGCATCTAGAAGGTGGCTATGTAGAAAAGTGATATAATTTGTTTTTGAAATTCTTAATAAATAGAGTTTTTAAAAGTGCAGAAACTTTTTAAAAATCTCTCATATTATGCAACAGCCAAAGTTCTCTGGCTAGTTTTGAAAAGATTAAAACTTTAAAAACATTTACACACAAAACCAATTCAAAATAATCAGCAATAAAAATGTCAGGACTAGTTAAACCCTTATTATTCACTGTCAAGTGGAAAAGATGACAAATTACACTGAGAAGATGGAAATGTTAATCCTAGGAAGATTTTTCTAGGGGAAAGCATACTACATTTGGATGGCAAAAAGGTCCCTTCCCTTCTTACCATTTTCCCAACCTTTTTTGGAAAGCACCTGGTATGTGGACAGCAATATAATGGAAAAGGTACTCCATCAGGTGTGTTAAGGCTTTATAAGTAAAAACCAGCACCTTGAATTGGGCCGTCTGTATACTTCCCTGCAGCCCCAGCAGGGTTCATATTGTACATTTATTTGTGACTGAGAACTAGCAACCAACTCCAGCATCATGGTTTTTAGCTCCTTGTGGCAGAGAGTAGTTGCAGGTGATTTGGATTGGAGAAATTAGTGATTGAAGAGGATTAGACGTTTAAATTTCTCCCAAAGCAACATATTTTTGTCTCACCCAGAATAAACAAACAAATATGCAGATGTTTGCACAAACCAATATGACAGGCCTCTTATTAGATGAAGGAAGCACTTATTTTAGTAAGCACTACTGAATTCAATTAAGACTTATTTCCAGAGAGCCATATTTGCAACTTCACTGTTAAGTACTGATACCAGGAGAAGCATATTTTGAATATTTATTAAAACTCTATAGGGTTTATTCATTTATCTTTCCATTTTAGTCAGATTAAATCTTACCTGTCTAAAGATCTTTCTGGTCTGACCAGTCAGCTGTATTCGTTCAGAAACTCTAGTATCGTTCCTCTATTTTAAAGGAAAGCACCAGAATATGTATTATATCATTATTATTTACAGCTTTTAAAAATTAATGTATATTTATATTCTTATCTGTGAAAAAATGGAATATAGCTCTATTAAAAATTGGTATTTTCACTAATCCAATATTGCTTGTCACTCACTGTTCATCTTGCATCTAAATTAAAAACATACCTTGCTGGTATCCACAATATGATCACTGCATTCATCAGATTCACAAAGGAGGATTGTATATGTGGTACTAAAATTACTAGGTGTAAAGCTGACTTCTACTTCTGACTTCTTGTAGCATACAGTTATATTTGGGTCCCACAAGCTTCCTGTAACATATAAAGCAATTCCAGGTTAAAACCTCTAGTTGGTTGGCCAAGTAAGGCTCACATTTTGGCTTTAGGTGTACACCTGCAAAGGATCTTGCTGCTTGGGCGCTGATGGAATGGCTGTCACTGACAGTGGCCGTGGTAAGCATGATTATGGCATTTTCTTACTCTTGATGAGCAGCTTACTAACCACTTCCTTCAATCCATGATGGAATCAGTCTTCCAGCTTTGGATGAGACAAGAATCCCTCATGGGCTCAACAACCTATAGGACAAGCCAGGAGCTGTCATTGTGGCTGGTTGTCCCCAAAAAGTTATTTGGCATCCAGGTCAGATGTCACTAGTAAAAGTGTGGCCAGAGAAAGCTACCTTGGTACCTGAAGCTACTTTACGGAAGAGTAATGTGGCTGGTAGTGCCAAGACTGAGTAGAATGCTCAAGACATTTAGGCGATTTGATCTGTTTTGGCATCTTTTTGGGGAAAAAATGACAACGGGGGCAAGAAATCACTATGTGTCCACTATCAAGACTAAAAAAATGGTAACAGTAATGCCCATCCGCACAAGGGAGCTTACTTCTGCAGTCCCAGCATTTCAGAATGTGGTATGAGGGTGGAAAGTGGAAAGAAAACCAGGAGTGATTTTTTTTAAATGCAAAAAGGGAAGAAAAGCCAATACAAAGGAGGAAGAGAAAGGAAATAAAACATGTAGCTTCCCTGGGTCAATGTCCATGATTTACTGTCTGCTACGCTTTGACAGCAGATACCTCCCGGGGCTTTCCCCAGGCAACCTTTCCCATGGTCAACCCCCACAAATGCGTCCCTTGCACTGGTACAAGTCCAACTAAATAAATACATAACAATGAAAACATGTGCAAATTTCTTGTGCAAAAATTATGAATCAGTGACAGCCCTTCCGATGTGCCACTTGGGTACTTTGGAAGGCCTGTCACTGACTATCACTGCAGAGATCAGAAAGGTGATCTGCAGGGGAACAGCCATGGTGAATAAAAAAGGGCTCACACGTAGAGCGGTGATAGGAGTCCAGGCGGCTTTAGCTGCCAAGTCCTCTGGGTATCTGCTAGAGGGATGAGGGAACTGGGCTCCTCCAGGCAAGTCACAGTGAGCCTAATCCTCTGTCAGATGCATTACAGTTTGTTCTGAGAACAATGCACCCACCCTTGGCTATTTGCAGAGTACCTTAACATGATAGGCAAACCTATCATGTAGGAATCCACAGAGATATGTAGGAATCCACAGAGGAATATGTAGGAATCCACAGAGATACCGTATTTTTCCCGTGTATAAGACAGTACTTTTTCTTAAAAACGTTTAGCTAAAAATGGAGGGGCGTCTTATGCACAGGGGGCCAAGAGGAGAACTGCAGGTGTGTTGGGGGGGGAAACTGGTGCAATCGTGCGCATGCGCAGGGGGGGGGGCAAGGCAGTGCATGCGTACACGGCAGCAGCTTGCTCACTCGGAGATTGGAAGGAAAAGTGGGGGCATCCTATAGATGGGGAAGTCTTATAGACAGAAAAATATGGTAAGTGGACTTGGATGTTAATTGCCTTCAACGCTTAGATTCACTGTCATGTTGTGTTCTGTGGTACACTCTATGACTAGTTATCGTTATGTTAGCACTCCAAAATACTTTTTAAGTTAGAAGGACTTCTGTATCACTAAAGCTATAGAATGAAAAATCATGTGTACTTACCTTTTTCTATGCATGTTTTGCAATGTTTCAGTAAATTGTCTTCACAGTCTGAATTGAAATATTTTATATTTAAAATTGTTTTTTCATCAATATATTACATTAAAGACTTGAATCAATGGGCTCAAATTACAAGAAAGGGTATTCAGAGTTTTAGGAAGCATTTAAGAAGTACTTTCCCGTGGTAAAGAGCTGTTTGACAATGGAACAGACTGCCTCAGAAGGTGCTGGACTCTTTCATTAGAGTTTTTAAGTAGATGCTGGGTGGCTACCCATCAGGAGTGGTGTTATAATGGATTTCTTCCTTTTTGACAGGTGCTTGACTAGATTAATTCCAAGGTCCTTTCTAACTCTACCATTTGAATATTCTAAGTACAGGGTATTGTTTTTACAAATATTTCATAATGTCAGATGCAAGTGTCAGCTCCTAAAACTATGGGTTTAGCTGTAAAACAGATATGCGATAACCCCATCTTTGGCTTCTTTCACTTCATTACTGCAGAATCTGTTAGCGTCTTACAGGATCTCCTGCTCACTTTGTAGCTCCAGTGTAAATCTATGAGTTTTGATAGAAACATAATGCCTATATGACTTAATTATTACATACGTACTTGGAGGGCAAAGTCCTATGGATTGTGCCCTCAGTAATCAGAACCCCTGAACTATAAAGCTTTAGATCATCCTGTGCTGGGTGGGAGAACCACTACAGGTTTCAGCATTACACAACTGCAAACCTGGGTTTTTCACCAGATGTTAATTTTATATTGTTAATTTTTGCATTTTAACTTATGTTTGTATTGTTAATTTAACGTTATAATTATTTTTTAACTTAATGCTGTAAGCCGCCCCGAGGCTTCGGCGAATGGGGCGGCATAAAAATGTTTTAATAAATAAATAAATGTACGCGCTGCAGAATGTTTCAGCGCACTAGTCCCATGTTGCTGAAAAGTCTACTTGTACAGTATTCATACAGCTGTGCTCGATGGAATCACACACTGGGTTTGTTTTAGAGGAGCTTCCAATATTTGTTGGATCCAACCCACTGCTTCTTAAGATTCATACATAAATAAATGTATTTTGATTTTTTAATCAATCAATCAATCAAAAAGTGGCCTCTTTTACCATTGCAATTTTCCCATTGTGAGATGTTAATTAATTTGCAAGTAAACAAAAAAGCACATCAGTTCTTCTGGTTTATGGACAAAACCTAAATTCACACACATTTTTCAGGTGAACATCTTAAGCTGACACTGTTCAATTACCTGGAGAAGTATGTTTTTGGTATATTTTTGGATGATCGGCCCCTATATTTGCTGGTGGCAAGTTATACGCCTCAATGAAGTAAGTATCGTCATCTTGTACAGGGAAATCATCATAGTGGAACTGCCACTGAAATTTAAAACAGCTTTGAATGTTATATTGTCCTCTTGGACTGGTGCAAACCCATTCCTCTTCTCTCTATTATTGTGAAAACACAGAACTAAGATGCCAGAACACAAACAAAACTAAAGCACCCACAACTTTATTTTTCAGTTATCCACCACTGACTGAGTCTTATACCAAAATAACATTCTGAGCTGGACACAGTGCCAGAAATCCTGTACTGGGAATTCTGAATGTAAGATTATTGGCACAGTAGGAGTAAGGCTGAGGATGAGTCAAAACTTGAAGAGTTAAAATGGACATGATGTTGTGGTACCTGATAGTCATCTGAATGTCAGTGTTAGCCTATGACTTGGGATGACTGAAAGCTTAGTTTGGGATGTCACCTTATTTATTTATCACTAAACTGAATGGTCAGATCAAGCGGGTTTCCAGTGTGGACTGTTTTTGCCAACAACTGAAGGCACTTTTGTTTTTCCTGACTGCCTGCATTAACAGCCACCCCTGGATTTTTCAATTAAATATTATTTATTTTTATTTCATTTATTTAGGAGATTTATAGGCCGTCCATCACTGTTGTCTCTGAACAGCTTACAGTATATTATAAATCCTAAACAAAATAAATTGGCTATACCACAACTGAGTATAAAAATGACGTGGTTAAATTAAGTAAAATAAATAAATATACAATTAAAATTAGCTTTAAAATATTGGTCAATTAAAAAGGTCTTCACCTGGCACTGAAAAGTATATACCGTATTTTTCGCTCTATAAGATGACAATAAGGGGAAATGTCTGTGTGTCTTATACAGCGAATGTGTGTGTACCCGACGCCCTGGATGCTGCCAGCCCACCTGCACCACGTGGCCCCACCTGGCTGACATGCGCTCAGCGCACCCTGCTCCGCCCCCCCCTCCGGCGCAGGTGAGAGCTGTGCCGCTCAGGGGGAGAGATGCGGAGGAGGAGGAGCCGTGGGCTTTAACCCGCCAGCCGCACGGAGAGACAGACCGCTCACCCCCACCGCCTGGGAAGACCTGCCGCCGCCGCACCGCCCGGAAGACCACCGCCAGCACACTGCCGGCCCCACATGGTACCACCTGGCTGACACGCGCTCGGCATGCCCTGCTCTGCCCCCCCCCCGGCACAGGTGAGAGCTGTGCCACTCGGGGAGAGGTGCGGAAGAGGAGGAGCCACGGGCTTTAACCCGCCGGCCGCCCGGAGAGACGGACTGTTCACCCCCACCGCCCGGGAAGACCTGCCGCCGCTGCTGCACCGCCTGGAAGACCACCTCTGGAATGCTGCCGGCCCCACGTGGCACCACCTGGCCGGCACGTGCTCGGCGCGCCCTGCTCCGCCCCCCTCCTCCAGCGCAGGTGAGAGCTGTTAATCACAGGTCGGTGTGTGTTTTCAAATGGCGACCAGTCTTTTAATGAAGCCCATGGGGAAGTGATAGGGAATGTGCCTGTGGTTATCAGGAAGCTTTCCATGGATCAGTTATCTGTTAGTTGATCAGACACATTTTTTTTTAGGATCAGTGGATATTTGAACAGCATTACCTTCATGTATGAAGTTTATTCTTCAAAGGCTACTTAGTCCGCTGTATGTTTGATTTACTATACAATATCTCATTTTTTGTCAAACGTTTTTTTCTATTATTTACTAGTAGGGCAGCGTGGACATTACTGGCTTTTTTAGATTTGTTATTGAATTGTCTGCAGCAGCTCTTGTATAAATGGTGTAGATTGTGGATTCCTTCAATAATTCCACTACTGACTAAGAAAGTGATGTCAGTGATTGTGAGCAACAGAGCTTCATAAATTCTGACTCTAGTGATGATGAGTTCTATGGGTTCAACGAAAACTAGAAGAGTACTCGAACTTTAAAGTCTCTCTTTTGTTAAAGACAGTGATGATGGTTCTTAATGCCACTGTTGACTGCTGTTCACTTTACAAGGTTGAAATACGGTATTACTGTATTCTGTTATAGTTTATTAAATAGTTTAGAAAACCATTTGATTCAGAATATTTTTTTCTTGTTTTCCTCCTCTAAAAACTAGGTGCGTCTTATGGTCAGGTGCGTCTTACAGAGCGAAAATACGGTAATGACGGCGCCAGGCGGACCTCTCTAGGGAGCGCATTTCAGAGCTGGGGCCTATCCTACTGCTTTATTGATTTTAGTGTATTTTATCATGGGAATACACAGTAAACCACTTTTGGATTTTTTACAGAGAAAATACATATTCTTTAATTTCATAAATTATTTGAAATGAAAATAATTAGGGTGCAATCCTGTTCATGCTTAAATAGCATGTCTGGCTGATATACGATGTGAGTTATCTCTGAGTTATTTACTACCTAAGATCTTATTTTCAGTATCAATCTGAACTAAGCTTTTATTGTCCTTTTACCCAAAAGTCCACTCCTGGTTAACCCAAACGTTCTTCATTTCAGTAGCAAAAAAAAAAAGCCATATTCTTGTTGCTACAATGAGGAATCAAAAATCCTTGCCAATCCATTGTGATTCACACACATATCTACCTTCTTTGGCCTAGCAGTGGCCTATAGAGTATGCAACTTCTCAAATTGCCTCTAAAAGCAGGATTATTTGCCTTATCTGTCTGAAGATTGGCATTGGTAGCAAGCAGGGGAGAAAGCTGAGCATGTGCACATGTCATGCCCATTTGGGCGTAAAATACCAAATTTCAGACAAGATGCTTGAAGTAAAAAGGCTTTAGCCAAATTGATGACATCATTAACATTCCAAGTAACTACTCAGAACTGGCCGTCATGTGAAAACAGAATCAATACACTTTTCAGAAAACAGAACAAGATTTTGTCACCTTTCATGATGCCCATTTCTGGCCCACCACATCAGAGCCACCAAAGCATTCTTAAGAGCTTGGGTTCAAGCAGTCTCTAAGGGCAGACCATTCCAAACGATCCCCCACTCCTGTAAAGGGAAGAAGCTGCTAAAAACCTAATTCTTTTTCAAGTAGAGTTTGACTCCACAGTTGGCACCTATTCTTTTGGCACCAACATAAGATATGTCTGTTCCATAATTATTTTAACAGGCAATATTTTTATTTGTAAAAATATTTTTAATTGTATGCTATATGCTGCTGCCAATATGTTTTAAATGCTAGATATTGATATAAACTATTTTAATTGGTTCATGTTTTATTTTTAGGTATTATATATATATATTATTTATTGTTTTGCTATTCCTATTTTGTTTTATTCAGTTTTGGTAGTCTACTTATGGATTTTATTCTTATTGGTCTTTTGTAATTGTGAGTTGTTGTGTTACATATTGTATTGTTTTTATGTTGTTTATGGATTTTATCATGATGTAAGCTGTCCAGACCGACTATGGATAGTGGGGCACTATATAAATTGAATAAATAAATAAATAAATACCCCAGGTTCTGAGAAAACCCTGACAAGATACCCTTGTGATGGATGCTGACATTCCCTTACAGCCATAAATCCAAGAGTGTGCAAAGCTGGGCAACCCCCAAGTAAAATAAGAGCCACGGGACTGTCAACTATAAAAGCATTTCTGCTTAATGCTATTCCATGTCAAACAAATATACTTGAATGGTGCTTTCTGATTGTAGTATCCTGAGTGATATGGGGTGATTTGTTAAAATATAGAAGGATCCTGATCCTAGCCACCAAGTTATACTATATTAGCTTTCAGTCTTCTTCCAGTTATGCAATTCTGTAGAAGTTTGCAGTGTTTGATTTCTTATTAGTTCCATTACCATTCCAACTGGATACTCTTGCCAACTTTCTGGGCATTTACTATTGTATAACTACTCAGATTTTGTAAATTGCTTCCAGTATCTCTCAGCAGCACAATAACTTTTTAAATATGCTTACTCTCTGACCACCAAGTGTGGTTTGGCTTTGAAACTTTTCTGTATAATCGCATCTCACACATGCCGTATTTTGAGCAGACACACATATCTTGGTGGCAGTCAGGTATCTGATGCTGCCTGGAAATGAGGAGATAACATTGCTTTAGAAAAGTTACTCAAGCAAATTGTGCTTCTCCAACTTCAACAAGTCTGCTTCATATGCACAGTAGCAGATACATTTTTCATTCCTGATGACCAAACAACAAGGCACAGTTATTTAGGGTTTTATCAGAGAGACACAAGAGTCAAAAATATAAAATAAACCTCTCCTAAGAACCTCAGAACACGTCAAAGATAAGCCTGGAGCCACTTGTTTTGACACCAGAAGTGTAAGTTAAGAGAATGATGTTCAAAAGTAATGGAATTTTTTCTTCTATGGTGTTTTTCTACATCTAATGATTGCAAAAGGCGAAACATAAAAGAACTGTGCATGATGGCTGTGGCAGCTGGTTTCGATGGGAGATGGGCTCTCTATTGTTAGTGTGCACCTACAATAAAGAAGCTTTTTAATATAAAAATCACTTGGAGAATTACTTGGAGTTGCCTGTCTCTTTCACAGTCAGACAATGAACAAAAGGGATCTCTTTTTTCCCTCAACAATTTCATCTCAATTTCTGTTCCCTGACACATATCTGCATGTTACTAGTGGTAGTAAACACGAACAGCTGCATGAATGTTGTGTTTTCACACATAAATACACGTATTTTTGTGTGTCCAAATAAAGAGCAAAGCAAAAAGGTAGCCTGATATCTTTTCCCTCCCTTGAATATAGGGCTTCTCAGAAGAAAAATAGTACATCAGAAAATGAAAGGACTATTCACCTGCACTGCACTCCCCATTTCTGTCATTTGAATATTAAAATGAACATTGATTTCACATACCTGATACTTTCACATTTTAAGCAGCTTTGGGCTCATCCATGCATTGCAATAATAATAATAATAATAAATAAAATCAAAGATACTTCTAGTGCCATATTTGACATAAGCAACTGTTCCAACAGACCTGTAAGTCAGGTAAGCAGGTCTGTGGTCTTTGACTGGGCTTGGTCAGTACAGACACTAAAGATGGATGCAGGTACAAGACTTATGTAGGCTTTTGCACTCCCCTAGCAACAGGTAACCCTTGTAAACTGTGCCTGCTTCGTACTGTACCTAAAAAGCCTGTCAAGGCAGCATGGCATTGTGTGAGAGGCCATTTATATATAAGTAGAAAGGCAGCACTGGATACTACAAGACAGAACCATGCTGCAAATTATTTCTTCAATATAAATCACTATTAGAGCTCCAAAAACCAGAAACAAATATTCTTGCTCAATCATTTGTTCCAAGAGCATTTGTTCGAAGGCACTGAATTATAACAAAGACAAATCTACAAGAAATATTAAAGTTTAAAGCTGGCTGTGAATGGTGTCCAGCAGGAGCATCATCTAAGATGTATATGAAAAACAAGAGATTGCTGTTGGAATGGGCAGAGAATGCCAGCCAGTCAATATTTTGCAGTTGGAGCTACCTAAAATCAGAGATGGAGCATTGGAACAGACCCAACCAGATTTGTGGGGATCGTATACTTATAGCAAAGGTAACAAGCCATTTTTATCCTGTGGGCTGAATTCCAATTTGGTAAGGTTTTCAAGGGGCATATTCCAGCAGTTGGTGAGTTTAAGGCCACAGAGCAGGATTAAGGTCAGGTGTGATTCTTAAAAGTTTGGACATTTGCTCACCAAGCACAGCTTAATTCCTACAAAATGTTATCAAGACTCCCTGTCCAGCCGTAAGTCCCAGTGCACTAGCTCTTGGTCCTGCAACGGTTCTCATGCCTGGAAATATGTAATAGTGGAAGTATATTTGCTTCCACTGCTGATCTGCTTGCACATTGGTACATAAAACAAGTATTATAAAGATACCTTAAGTCTCCAGTGCAGATATCCAAATATTATCCAAAGGAAACTGAATATATGTGACATTGTCTCTGAACTTTTCATCACTTCGGAAGAGTGTAAGAATATTTTAAAAACTGTGGAATTAACCTAAAATAATACTAGATTAATATTATTCAAACATAAAAAGAGTGAGTCCATCCTGCTTTGTCTTGTTTCAGATTACATGTGAAAATTGTTCAGATGAGGTGTTCCTAAGAAATAATTTTCTGAGGTCTACATACTGAATCACATGCATAATTAGATGAACATGGGTATAAATGAAAAAGCATAAATGTGCTCTTCTACATCCTATATGAATACGTATAAAAAGAAATTACCCAGAGCACATGCTCAGCATACAAAGGTTTCTGCTCTTTTGTTGCAAGTTCATTATAGTGAAGACATTTATGCTTGCTTCAAACATCCCTCTTCCCCCAAAATGGAAACAGAGCCCTTAGAACAGAAAGGTCCACAGAGGAACAGAGTGGAACATCTGTTGCACTTCAGACATTTAATGCAAGTTTCATAATGGGTCCACTACCCTGGTTATGATACTTACTATCTGCATTAATGATCCAACTTATATTAAATTTGCACTCTCCTTGCACTTCCACAATCTTGAAATTGAGTTCAAAAAGATCTGACGGTGTGAAATTGTGTCTCATCATCAGCTCAGGAGAAGGCCCTCACAAAGAAGGAAAATCACAAGTTAAAACACTCTGAAGGATTATCGGTTTGAAATAGTGTCTTCTATTGCCTAATAATATGCATAATTCCAGCCTATACAAGCATTATTCTTTTTCAAAGGTTAGAGAGATTTCAAAGCAATCTGCTTAAAAAAGAGTATTTTATTTTGATTGTTCTGCCATTGATTCCTCAGTAAGGCTGTAATTCTACACACGCTGAGGCTAGTCACATGTCAGAGCAGCATACAGCAGAAATTGTAGGGGCACATGCACAAGATGTCCAAGTCACTTTCAGTTTTCAGAAGCAACCTATGAATACTTCTAGGTTACTAGCATGAAATCCAGAACCAGGGACTGGGTTGTTTGTGGGTTAAATCAAAGTGTCTGAATGGACTTCACGCTAATAGCTTATACACGTGGTCATTCATAGGACTTCTGAAAAATGAAAGTGCCACATTTTAACTTGGAAGTCTCAAACAGCTTGGGACCAGCTTACATGAAACATCGGCTTCTTCCACATGCATCTGCCAACCTTAAGATTTTCTTTAAAAGCCTCACTCCAAGTGCCCCCACCAAATAAAGGCTAACCAGCAGAGAGAAAGCCTTTTGGGCCCAATGTGAAATAAAAAGATTTTTATTCACTAAAGCTTTTAAGGGTACAATCCTATGCATATTTCAAAAGAAAAATATCCTACATTCTCCTGCAATCCCAACCAGCCTATTTTAGTTCAGATAGTATACAGAGGTCATATGCTTAGATTTTAATTAGAATAGTCTTCTTCAACCTAGGGTCCTCCAGAAGTATTAGATTACAAATCCCACCATCACCAGCCAATATAGCCATCGATTTTCTCCCCTAATGAGCACATGAAACAAGATTAGGGTCAAATAATGAATGAATTCTTAGTTAATGAATCATTCTGCATCAACCTCTAGGTTACTGGAGGGTTGTTTCTCCCTCCAACAAGTCACCTGATTCAGACAGCATGGTAAACTGGACCCAGGCATTCATTATGGAAATGCACCCACACGTTTCAGGCACATGCCACAATTTTTAAAAAGGATGGCTTTATTTTGATCATGGAGACTGGTCCAGTGTATTCGATTTAGGCCATAATTTAATAACCCAAAGCAAGCACTTGATATTAAAGAGAATGTCCATTTTAAATATTTTACTTTTTGATCCTTATTGCAGAAACACCGTCAACAACTTCTTAAAAATAAAAGAAATATGCTTTGACCTTGGCAACCTTTGATCAAAAGTGGCTATAACCAGTTAATATATTGATTAAATCTTGCTACACCTATAAAAGATCAACAGCAGAATGACATGAATAAACATTAAAAACACATAATGGGAATATACTGGTCTTCTAACACATGCTATTTGTACATACCATTTTCCTCACGACAAGTAAACTGTAATGAAAAAGAAAACCAACATTAAGTTCTAAAAAAGAATTTTTGGCAGTAAAATACACATTTTGTCCATACACATCAATTTTAGAAAGCCACATTATTGGCACAGCTCCCTCCTCATGTTTGGCTGTCCAGGTACTTACTGGAACCACAGTGCATCTCAGTGTTTAAGGAATATATTGAGAAGCATGCAGAATATTTTTCTTCCTATTTACAAAAGCAAAATTATATATACCAGTACTCATTTGAGTGAAAAAACATCACCGCTGAAGTGGATTACAAAAATTCTGAAAGTAAGAAGTAATATATAGTACACTAAATGAAAGGATTTCAGTATATACACCTCATATTGATGAAACTTAATAAATGGCAAACATTGTAGAGAAACTTCACATTAATTTATGCCATCACCATTGTGTCAGAAAAGCAATTCACTGGGCAGACATAAGCATTCTAAACAAAGTTACAGTCACAACATTTCATGTACAGTGATAATGGAGAACAGAGTTTTCTTGGTTGGGGCTGGGAAACCTGTAAGAGGATATTAGCAGGCAGTATGGAGAGGTGCTTCATGTCTCCTGAATTCTTCCCATGCAAATACACTCCCCTGAATCCAGTTTTCTCTTTTTTCTGCTCAGTTGGGTTCATTTATAGGGCAAAGCATTTATTGTACACTTTTGATCACAGAGGTCTGTGGGGTTTGTTTGTGTAAAGTGGGGACTTTACACAATGCTGTCATATTCCAGGGCCTCTCCTGAATTTTTCAGCCATTTTCAGCACTTCTTTTTAGAGCAAAGAAAGCTATTTTCCTTGATGGTACCATTAGAAAGTGTATTTTCACAATTCTGCTATACACCACATCACCACTTCGTCTCATGGAATGGAACATACAAGGAGGCAGTGAGGAAAACCTCCAGAAAAAAAGAAAGCTCACATGAAGGACACTCTAATCAATGGAATGATCAAAAATTGCTAATCAGTGGCACCCTCTCAAACTGGGAGAGGTAACAAATTGTATTCCAAAGGATTCAGTCCTGAGCCCAGTGCTCTTCAACGTTTTAATGATTTGGACGAGGAAGTGCAGGGAGTGATTATCAGATGTGCAGATGATGCAAAACTGGGTGGGGTAGCTAATACCCTGGAAGACAGAAGCAAGATTCAAGAGGAACTTGATAGGTTGGAGCACTCGGCTGAAAACAACAGAATGAGATCCAGTAAGCACATATGCCAAGTTCTGACCTAGAAAAAAGAAACCAAATGGCTGGGAGGTCGCAAGATGGGCAATATTTGGCTCAGTGATACTGCAAATGAGAAGGATCTTGGCATTGTTGTAAATCACAAGCTGAATAATGTGATGTAGTTATAAAAGGGCAAAAGCCATTTTAGGCTGCATTAATAGAAGTATCACTTCTAAACTTCATGAAGTACTAGTTTCCCTTTACTCAGCACTGGTTAGGTCTCATCTGGAGTATTGTGTCCAGTTCCAGGCACCACAGTTGAAGAAAGATGCAGACAAGCTGGACAGGGTTAAGAGGAAGGCAACAAGGGTGATTGACTGGAAACCAAGCCCTATGAAGAAGAAATGGAAAGAACTGGGCATGTTTAGCCTTGAGAAGACTGATGGGAAATATGATAGCACTTTACAAGTATTTGAAAGGCTGTCACAAAGGAAGGACAGGATTTCTTCCACTCATCACAGGGTGCAGGACACAGAATAATGGCCTCAAGTTACAGGAAGCCATGGTCCAGCTGAACATCAGGAAGCACTTCCTGACTGTTAGAGCAGTACAACCATGGAACCAATGACCTCGGGAGGTTGTTGGCTCGCCCACACTAGAGCCATTCAAGATTCAGCTGAAAGAAACCCCACACTGAGCAGGGGTTGGACCTGATGGCCTCTGGCCCCTTCCAACTTTACTATTCTATGATTCTGTGTGTGCTAGCAGAAGCATAGAGTCGCTTCTCCTGCCATGCAAAGTACTTAGACAGCCTCCCCACATCTCCCAAAATCCATATCTGAGTTGCTCATTCTCTGTCCACTGCAAGAGTGTGGGGAGGACACTCTGAGTTGGAATCCCAGCTCCAAACTCAGAGTAAGTTGTCCGGTCTGCCTAGGGGCCATAGGATTGTACTGCCTTCTAATCAGTCATATACACATATATTTAATTAAGCTATATGCTGCCTTTCCACAGAAAAACAGTTTAGAACTGTGATTTAAAGTGGGTACCAATAATAAAATACAGACAACATCTAACATAATTCAAACATAACTACATCAATTAAATCACAGTAGAATAAAAAAGTTAAAAAGAAATTAGATATGCAGCTCCTCTCAGCTAATGTCTAGTTCAGAAAGGGGGGAGTTATGTGGGGAGTGGGTGAACCTACAGACTATAAGCCATTTTATAAGATCTTGCAGCACCTCAAAGTATTGGGAATTATAGGGCTTTTTGCTTTGTAAAGATGACACTTACTTTTTGTTATCTTTAAGCAAGTAATACATGTATTTAAGTAATAAGTATTAAGTAAGTGCCTACACTTAGGACACCTGAAAAAGAATCACAGAATTCCTAGATCAGAACATTATAGTGCATCTTAGTGCCACTCCTGCTTTGCACACAAAAGGCTACAGCGGAAGCTGCCTTCTACTGACTGAGATGTGGGCTGAGATAACATAATTTGCAAGAATTGAGTAGTGATAGAGTACAGGGTGTCTTTGAATTGTAAGTTGTTTGAATGTTGGTTATTGTGTTTTGTGAACCCAGATGCTCTAATAAGCCATGGCTTGTTTACTATAAACAACCCAAGAAGAGAGCCCATGCTTAGTTGCTGGGTTGTGAACTGTAAGTTGTTCACCAAGGTTTCTTACCTCTGCTGGGTTTAGAAGACACAATAACTCACATTTCAATTACCCACAGTTCAGTGACAGCCAACACTCAACTTATACTGAATCACTAAGTGTTGGATATGGTGCTGTCCAAACCCAAAATCCATCTATCCCAATAGTGATGAGTGGCAACTGCTCAGGGTTTCATAGACCTGCCTGGAGGCACGTGCTTTGAGCAAGGGACCTCCTGTATAACAAGGCAGGTGCTGTGCCATTGGGCCAGGATTCAAGTGCAGTTCACAAGCAGAACTGGGAAAAACTGTTGTCTGAAACTCCAGGAGACCCACAGGCTGCCATCACCATACTAAATGGATAAGTGGTCAGTCTTGATGTGAAGCAGCTTTCTATGTTAACCCATGCTATCTTGCTAGAAGCAGATGCTACTTACCAAAAAGGATCTGAGGCTAAGACCCCCAGGGCAAACCCTCCACAAATTTGCATATGTACTTTATGTATGCTCTAAAGTGTCACCATCACCATGACCAGCAGCAGCAGCATCGTGTGCCTCTAAAGAAGACTCTCTCTTTGGACACCTCCATTTGCCACAAGGGATGCATGGGCAGGGGAAGCAGCGCTTCTGATTTCAGCAAGAAGCCCCGCCAAACATTGGAGGGGGAGGCAGCCGGAGCTGAAGCGCGTGCATGCAAAAAGCCAGAGGCACAGAGAGGCAGACAAGGCCGACAGAGCCACCGCACCCTTATTTCAGCCAATGTCGCCGGCCAGTAGGGGGGTGGGGCAGGTGGGCGCCCCCCCAGCCATGCGGAGCTCCAGACTTACTGGGCCGCTGTCTAACACCGCTGCACTTTGCGCTAGAACCCAGGACGGCATAGGCTTCCCTTCGCACCGTCCCTTCTGTGAACCGCGCGGAAAGCCTGGACTAGGAGCTGGTGCAGAAACGTAACATTAAAAAAATACAAAATAAAACATCAAATGGGGACGAGTGCCTTATGTCAACTCGCTGTCATTCCCGTGAGAAAAGGAAGAACTACGAAACGGTGCTCTTCTCCAGAGCCGCTTGAATTTCTGCCTGCCGCGGGAAGGGAGCGCTGTTGAAGGGGCAGCGCGAAGTGTGCCGGAGAAAGGCTGAAGAAAGCCGAAGGTTTACCGACTGGTCTTCTCTGGAGCTGCACCAGCGCAGGGAGGCCGCCAGCAGCAGCCAAGTCACCGCCTTCATCCCCTGTCGCTCGTCGGGGCGCCGCCAACGCTGCCGCTCCTTTCTCCCCTTTGATTTCCCGCGAAATCCTCCCCGCCGATTTATGCCTCTCCCCGCCCACACCGCGTGGCCCGCGGCCAGCCTCCCCCGCCAGTCGCTCGCTTTCGGCAGCTGTCCCCGCGAGCCCGGAGGAACTTTTAGGCTGGCTTAGCTGAGCCGGGGCCCAAAGATATAAGCAAGGGTCCCCTCGCCAAGTTGATGGACAATTCAATAGAAATAACCTGCACAGAGAATATTATTGGGGATATTATGGGGATAATCATGGGAATATTAACATATCGCTGGATCCGAGAAAGCACCTTTTTCTCTAGAAGTCAGCATGTGTGCTTCCTCGAAATGTAGCTGACACTTGCCAGGTGCCATTCCAGAGACAGCTGGCTGACCTTTGACAGGTAACAGAAGCTTGAACAAAGGGCAACCCACCCCATCCTCCTTCTCTTTCCTGGAAAAACTCCCCATTCTCCTCCCCTCCTTTGGAGCATCTTCCTGCTTTGATACACTGGCAGGAAAGATCGTGCCATTGTAAATTTCCACTTCTGTAACCTATTAGAAAGTGTTAACTGTGTGACCTGTAACCCTTTAATGATCAATGTATAAAAGGGCCAACTGAGGACTGCTTGGGTGAACCATCCGGAAAGATTTGTTGGCAGCCAGTTATTCGAGAGAATAAATCTTGTGAAAGAAAATCTTCCTCTGTTGTGAATTTTGGGCATACACACACCAGGACACAGAGCATTTGGACAAAACTGCCATTTTGGAACAGGCTGTGAACACTGTAATCTCCATTCTGTGGCTTGAGGTCACCTCGTTCTGCGGCAATGGAAGCATCTGAAGCTGCCTGATCATTCTCCCCAGTTTCATGCAGTTCTCAAAAGTCATGAAGGTCATTACAAAAAAGTATTTTCCTATGTAAAAGGTTTTTATTGCAGGGTCTCTAGGTGAGGGAGAGCAGTGTCCCAGGAAGGCCTGGCCTTTGGAACCAAAGTCCACGGCCGTCTCTTAATTGTCCCACCAGACAGCAGCAGCAGGTGAATGCAGGAGAAGGAAACTCAATTTTAGTTATCTCGCTGCTCTTGATGGTGCTGATTCATGTGAGTCTAAAGCAAAATACCACAGGTGCTTCTTAAGAGCATCCTATTTTCAAGGTTCACAGTTGCTTTGTTATTTGAACATATCAGGAATGCACAAGCAGTGGTGGAGAGTGGAGATAAAAACTGTGTGCGTCACAACTGGGGTAATACCACAAATGGGTACCACATTTAAGTTCATGGTCTAACATCTGTCTATACCACTGAGGAAGGGGGAGTTGACATAATAATGAGTAAAACTGCTGCCTGTGATCAACAGGCAGCCACATTTACCTTATTTACAATGCTCTCAAAGCATATTTAAAAATTTCTTTAAAGACTTACCACTAAATGCTTATTATAATGCCAGTTTTCTGCAGTGGAAAGCATGTTAACTATAGATGGAGATGATATGAATTAAAATCTCATCTCAAAACTGGAATATCTGCTTTCTCCCAGCCTAATCTACCTTATATGGTTGCTGTGAAAATAAAGCAGGGGATTGTGTATGGAACATGGCACTTCCTGAAGGAAGGCTGGGAGAAATATAAAAATGTACATATTGCAGCAATGAAATGGCACAATGCAGCTGATGAGGTATGTTCAATACACAAAATTTGTTCTAAAATGATTTATTGTCACAGTTCCACCAGATGCTTTCTTAGTCATTTCTGTTGCAATTAGACCAACAGCGCAATTTTGCTGAAATATATCATTCCTTAAACATTGTGCAACTGCAAGTGCTACAGCATTATTTCCTCTGCCTATTTTATAAATGTACTAGTACTATACAAAAAGTTCACCACAGGTTGAGAACTTCTTTTTGTAAAATGCCCATTTCATTTTTTTAAAAACCCTTCATTTCTCATGTGCCATATTGTATAATATACAATATGTCCAGGCTTCATTTCTGAATAGTAGATGTGTAGACTTGATGGTACACTTGATGGTATAACAGTTTTGGAATATAATTGGGGACCATGCTTACAGATATTTTGTCTAGGGGTGAAATTCAACATACTCCTCATGACAGTCACTACAGTCACATCCCAAAAGAGAGACCAAAAATACAGGCAGCTCTGTTGATCCATATCAACCAACCAGTTCTAAATAGCTTCATTTCAGACAAGAACAAGGCTGTTGTAAATCTAATAGATCTTAATTGCTAACTGAAGTCCAAGCAACTGCAAAAGGCATTTCATTGCAACAGAGAACAATATAGTATTGCTGGGGAAATTTATTTACATGCTGCAGACTCCTCAGAAGAGGCTGCCCCTGACCCTGCACTTGCTTTAAGATTAAGGGAGCATGTTCTCTCTTCATACCAATGCCTCAGGTCTGTGTTCAAAGCCTACCAGCCTTACAGCGCAATCCAGTCTGGAAGCTCATAACCTTCCAAACTTTTAGTTTATTAGGCATCCTATGCAGGGTGGGAGGGGCAAAGATTGCTTCCATACTCCTCCCAGTCTGCAAAATGTTTAAATGGCCAGTTCCAGTCATGTGTCACCCTTTGAAGAGGGAGGAAAGAAGGCCAAGGGACTGCCAGGATACTTCATGTATTAGCAGCACCTGTCTTCACCCCCCCTGCCCCCCGAAACATGCCCTAAACCCCATCTCTGAGGTTGCCCTTGTTTCTGTGCTGACTGCAAGGGAGGGGGTGGGCACGCTGAGCTAAACCCAGCTATAAGGCTGGAGTGCTTTTTCCAACTGTGCAGCTGTAGATGCTATGGTGATTTACAGAGCATCTAGCAGTCTCAGGATTGCATTGCCTGAAACATTGTTCAGTAATAAGGTCAACACAAATTTGCATGCAGACAAGTTATTTTTGTAACTCAAATGTAATATTTTCCTCCTTCCATAGAAAGATGACATGTTCTTTAAAACTAGTGAGAGAGTTGATGATTAACAGAATATTATCAAATTTATGTTGCTAAGTAAATACATTCTTGTTGCCCTTATAATTATTAGCTGAAGATTGAACTGGATGTCATGATGTTTGAACAAGAGCCAGTCGATAAAATCCAGGAAAACTTTGTTAGCTTAAGCCTGACATGAATGGGAATCCCAGTTAACCTATGGGAAAACCTCTCAGTTAAAAGAACAAATACCTGAATGATAACAGGTCTTATATTAGTTAGAGGATAAAGTCAGTAATGTGCTGAATGATAGACATCATGATCACAAATGCAATTAGTTTTATCTGTTATTACTTAATGCATAATATACTTGGGAAATTAAAAGTCAGTGGGACTTTGCTTATGGAAAAGCAGCACTAACCCTACTTCATGTCATAAGTGTTAGATATTAAATTGTGTACCTTGTGAAAATCAGAGCCAGACTCAACCTGATGTTCCTACCTTTTCTCCATGCATTCCTGATAATTTAAAACGAGTAACCAAGGCTGGGATGAGTGAAACTGGGACTATAACATTGGGGGGGGGCATATGAGAAGGATCGGGGTTTTAGCCCCTTTGTGCCCCCCATGGTCATGATCCCACAGTAGCTATTTGCAATGAAAGAAAAGCTCCCCTGGTAGATGGCCATCACTCCAACTTGTGGTATGACTTAGACTGGATTCATACCTTGGGAGGACTATCAGATGGAGGGTACCTAATGCGTGTTATCAGAAACGATCAAAAAATAAGAATGTAAGGAAAACTGTGCAGGGTCAGCCCAGGAATACATCTAGTGCAGTATTCTGTTCACACAGCAGCCAACCAGCTGTCTGTGGAGAGCCTCCAAATAGGATATGAGTGTAGTGGCAGCCCATATGCCCAGCACTTGGTGTACGTGGACATATTGCTCCTGGTACTAGGACAGTGTAGAACCATTAGGACTAGTAGCCTTCTCCCCATAAATGTGTCTAATCCCCCTTTGAACTAATCCATACTGGTGGCCTTCATTCCATCCCATAGAAGTGAATTCCATAGGAATACTGTGAAAAGGTATTTCCTTTTATATGCCCTGAATACCAATCAATTCATGGGAGAAGTCCAGAAGCCCATGTTATGAGAAAAATGTCTCCAAGTTCATTTTCCCCACACCATGCATAATTTTGTACATCTCTATCACATTTCCCATTTGTTGTTATGTGCTGTCAAGTTCTAGCTAACTTATGGTGACCCTCCAAAATGTCCTGTCCTTACATTCCTTTTTCTAAGCTAAACCCAGATATTATAACCATCATAGAAGAGTTGCTCCAGCCCTTTAATCATTTTAGTTTCCTTTTCTGCACTTTTTCCAATTCTCCAATATCCGCTGTTTAGTTACTTCATCTTTTCTTAATGGATTTTCCATCTCTCAACTGGAAGAAGTGGTTTAAAAAACCATGGGAGGGCTGTGAGTGGAACACAACAATATCTGGATCCCCTGTAAATTTATATAAAGTGAGATGATAGCATGATAAAAGCCCATCAAGGATTTAGCTTTTACCATGTTATCACCATTCAGAGAATTCTATCAAGGATTCACGTGATAATTTATTCACTTGTAACCTTCCCATGTTTTCCCATCACTTCTTTTATTGTTAATTTCCAACCCCCACCGCCTCCCAGAAAAAAGGAAAAGATGGACTAGTTACAGAGTGACTGGGTTTGCATGACACAACAAGCCACTGTGTTTTTTTAATTACGTTTGTTCTGTTATTTCACCCAATTCCTGCTGTGGTGTTTCAGCATGGAATGTCTGCTCTTTAGAAACCAAGAAAAGAAACAATGGTCTGTTCAGTGGTCTTGCCAAGCCACGATGGCTTGGTGAGACACTCCAACCCAGAAAACACAACTCGCTGTGGTTGAACCAGAGAGCTGCCTGGCAAGAGCAGCCATTGCCACTCCTGCCAAGCAGCTAGTCAGAGAGCACTACTGACAGCTGCCATTTTGCATGGCTCTCAGATGCATCTGCATTCCTCTCACTTCCTGCCCTAAAGATCTTCTCTGACCAGGTGCTGGGCCATGCTGCTCACCTCCCATACGTGTAAGGGGCTTCTGTCAGACACATGTGTGAGGGGTAAGCAAGGAAATCAGCTGATCAGCCCTGCCCAGCTGATTCTCCCCCCTCACACTTGCTTCTCTCAGGCAGGAGCAGGGGAATCAGCTGAAAAGCACTGCTCCTTTCTTCAATGCTCCTTAGCTGGTTTCCTCCCTTTTGCCCAATCATGGATCTGGCACCCTCCCTCCTGCTCCAGTGGTCCCCTCTGGAGCAAGAGGTGAGCTGAGGCTGCCTCATCAGCTCTCTGCTCCTCTCAGGTGCACTTTGGCAGGAGCCCTCTCTGCACTGCAGGAGTGGTTCACAGCCGTGGCAAGATTGCGGCTGTCAAAGAGAGGGCCTGGAGGAAGAGAGAGGTGGAAAGATTCAACCTGATCATCTAATCAGTAAGTCAAAGTAAAAAAAATACAAAACCACAGTGGCACAGTATCAAAACGTGTAAATCCAGCCAATGTCTTGATTGGTAACTGCTAGAGGTTGTTCAGCCAGAAGCACTGTCTATTAGTTGAAGCTAAATCCCATTGAAATTGCAGTGAAAATTTGTCATGACAACTTAAGTCATTTTGATTTCAGTGAAAAGTAAGCACTTAGGCTAGAGTGAAGCTATATGTAAAATTTCCTAAAACACTAAGATTTGATAGTGTATACTACCCCTTAGTGACTAATGCAAGAAATGAGAGGTATATGTTTTCACATTCCATTACAAAGCATTTCCTTCCTAATTTGAGGGATTCATTGTTTTGTTGTGTATCAGGTTTTCCATTCCTCTACACATGTTCATATGCAAATTATGAGGTTTGGAGTTGTGCATTTTACCTATGAGCTTAATCAGGCAAAGCTGCCTTTGATGGCTCCAGGTCAAGCAGGTCACAGGGCTGTATTTTCTTTTGCAAATTAAAAAAAGACCCCGTAGCAGAGGGGAATCAAATGTCTTCCACTGTTTGTAGGGCAGCAGGGGCTGATGTGCAGCTCTTCAGTGCTGTTGGCCTGCAAGTCCCACCAGCCCCAGCCAGCACAGCCACTGCTCAAGGAATTATGGGAGTTTTAGTCTAACTAATGCCTGGAGGGCCACACTTTTCCATCCTGTTGTAGGTGTGTATTACTTAACTAGTTTTCTTTTCCTTCATTTTTTTCTGTGCTGTTACCATGGTTCTCTATGTCCTGGCAAAATGTAAACGTTAGACAAACATCTGCCTCTGCTACCTGTCCTCCGTGCAAACTGTATACAGTCCACAGCAGCTGCATTACCATGACAAAAGAAAAGGCCCGGGGCCCTAATAGCTCGAAGTAATCTTTATGGTGGAACTGTGCTATCATGATGAGTCACATTTGCTAAACTGGAAAGGTGCAGGGCTGAAGCCTGGTAGGTGACCATATGTGGAAATGAAGCAGGGGGTTGGACTCCATGGCTTTATAGACCCCTTCCAACTTGACTACTATTCTATTGTTTAGTTTTCAGGAAACACAACATGTGCAGCTGACGAAAGAGAGAGCTTGATACACTTTTTAAACAACCAGGGAGTAGTCACAATTCAATCATGCTTTGTTTATATAGTTACTAAATCAAATAAACCTTTCCTAAGAACTGGCAATTGAATTACTTACGTATGTGATAGTTTGGACGTGATGGGGAGGAGAGGAAGAGGGAAGAAGGAAAATAGCTGAAAGCCATGAGCTCTGCAGGAAAATCGTGCGGTCTAAGAGCACCAGGGTCACAAGAATGTCTTACATTCGGCCCAAAGTGTCCTTCTTTCCTTCGTCTAGAAAGACGAAGCCTCCCAGACCAGGGGATGAGAACGATTCCAGGAGGCACTGTAAACAATCGTAACAGAGGGCAGGGAACCGAGAGGCCATCTAGTTCAACCCGCCGCACATCGCACGCCCAACCAGAAACCGGAGGGAAGAGCGGAAGGAGGAATGTTGTCCAAGCATTTTCGGGTACAAGGGTTCTAAGAGTAGCCCAGCCCCCTCGGGTCCCGCCTCTTTTCAGTTCCTGGCCGCCTTCTCTTTGGACTGTGCAGGTGTCCGTCGGGGAAGTTGCTGCTGGGCCACGGCTGCGCGACGAGAAGTGCGTGTGGGCGGGGGGTGCGGAGGCGAAAAGAGACAGCCCCGAAGGCCGGCGGCTTCTTTGGCGAGGAACGGGCAAGCGCTGCTGCCCCCGCGATCCAGAGGGTGTGCGCCTTGTGACGGGGAAAGGAGGCACGCGGAGGGAGGTGCGTCGGTCGCAGACGTGCCCTGCGCTGACGAGCCGAATTTAGGCAGGACGGGGTGGGCGAGACAGGGGAGCGTTGGCAAGGCGCGGTTCGAAAGGGCAGCGCGGGGGGGGGGGCAGAGCGGAGCGAGCGGAGCCAAGGGGACGCGGCGGGGAGCGGGCAGTGCCAAAGTTCCTCTGGCGTCGCCCCAGCCGCGGTTCTGCGCGGGAGCAGGCAGCGCTCATCGCAAATGTGGCGCCTGCCTGGCAAGGGGGCATCGAAAGCCCACCTCCCCCCGCAAATCTCCGCCAGTCCAGTCGGGCGGTCTCGGGGCACCGCGGGCCACAGCAGGCCACGCTCTTGGCATGGGAAGCGTGCCTAGCAGGAGGCTGGTTTCTCGCCCCTCCTCCTTTCCTGCGCTCTGTGGAAGGTATCCTGCTCATTTGTTTAAAAAAGGCATGGACAACCCTACTGAACTATAGGATAAATCCACAAATTATACAGTAGGGCAGTCCTTCATTAGCGCCCTTAACTCTTTTAGCCTGAAGTGCCTGATCCTGCCTCATCTTGAAAGCTAAGCAGCGTCAGGCCCGGTTGGGATCTGGATGATAGACATGAGTCCTGCATTGAGCAGGCAGTTGGACTCAACTGTATGCTTCTATGATTCTAATAAACTGCCCAGAGAGCCTTGGCTGTTGGGCGGTATAAAAATGAAAAATAAATGTTGCCTCAACCTTTCTTCATTTTGAAGGGTGCCTGTCATTTAGCGGCTTTTCAGCCTTCTTATTTTTACCTTTGGCATATTGCAACCCTCTGAATTTACCTACTCCCACAGGCAGTTGTCATTAAGGTCACTTGAATAAATGCAATTTTAAATTAGCAGTTAAATCCTTAATATACATTCCAGTTATAGTTTTCCTGTGTTTTTACACTTTTGTCTTTTTCCATACCATAGAAAATCCATCAAATTAAAGATAGAATTGCTGCAGTGTCTTCCAGTTGTTAGTGCTAAGAATCTTCCATCTGTAAGTATATAATATCTGCCTGAAATGAAGTGGAATTGCATCCCACCACTCCACTTTGAGCTCTGAATAGAAAGTAGTGTTGAAAATGGTTTGGCTAAGAGATGCAAGGTAGCAGGGATAGAATGCTTGGCGTACCAAAGGTGAAGGCCTCTCTGACCTTTACAGTTAGGAACTGTAAATCAAAAATATTTTGTTTAGCTATTTAAGAAACCAGAGAGTTACATATTTGTGAAAGTGTTGAGAGTTTTCAGTTTGAAATCCTTAAGTCTTCTCAAAGTACTGCAATATCTTGATTTGCTTGAAGAAGAAATGATGGCAATCCAGTTGTAGAAGGATAGTTTTAGACAGCTGGTTCCCTCTAACAGAAACTCAGATTCTGCGTTCTTTATTATGCAACCAGTCACCCCCTTTCCCTTTTATTTGTTTTTCTTTCACCAATCAGATTTGGCTAGGTGCTGCCATCAGAAAGTCTATCAAATGTGAAGGCAATGCTTCTTGGATTAGTTGCAAGGTGAACCTAGACAATCACAGCTCATTCAGTGAGCTAGTTCATATGGTTACTCTTTTCCTGATACTACAGTGTTTTGCTTTCATCTGCTTCTTCACTGCCTATTGCTTTTGCACATTAAGTGTGCATAACTTAAAATACCTGTGTGAATATGCAGGTACAAGAAAATTAAGGCTAATTTTCTCAGTGGGTTAGCTTTGAAAAAAAAAATGTTTTCAGTACAACCCAGTGAAGGCTTACAATTATTATTTCTTTATACATTTCTTTAACTCCATCCATTAGACTTAAAATGCATTTTAATAAAGATTACTTTTTCCCCTTTCTTTAGATCAAAATATTTTATCCTATATTGTTTACAACAGAAAACAAACATACAAAAATATGTCTTATTTAATCAAAGGAGTTCAGAAATGTGGTTTTGCCAATCAAGTGCACAGAACAGGAGTATTAATTAAAAAATGTATACTGAAAGGTTCAGACCCTTTCACTGGACGAATCATGGGAACATCCAAGCCATTTTCTCAAGCTAGTTCAAAACACATGGACACTTTCAGTTACGTCATTGTTGGAGCTGGATCTGCAGGATGCGTGTTAGCCAACCGACTGACTGAAGAGGCTCACAGCACTGTTAAACTGCTGGAAGCAGGGCCCAAAGATACTCTTCTAAACAGCAAACGATTACTGTGGAAGATTCATATGCCTGCTGCATTAACTTACAACCTGTGTGATGAGAAGTATAACTGGTATTACCATACAACTCCTCAAAAGCACATGGATAATCGAATCATGTACTGGCCCAGGGGTAGAGTATGGGGGGGGCTCTTCATCCCTCAATGCCATGGTGTACATTCGGGGCCATGCAGAAGATTATAACAGGTGGAGTAAAGAAGGGGCTGTTGGATGGGGCTATGAATTCTGTTTGCCTTACTTTAAAAAAGCCCAAACTCACGAGCTGGGTGCTGACCTGTATCGCGGTGGAAACGGCCCACTTCACGTGTCAAGGGGAAAAACAAAAAACCCTCTGCATTATGCATTCTTGGATGCAGCTCAGCAAGCTGGGTATGCTTTCACAGACGATATGAATGGTTTTCAACAAGAAGGCTTTGGCTGGATGGATATGACCATATACAAAGGTTAGCTTTAAAGTACTTTATTTGGAATATACGTAAATCACCAAACTGTTATTCTGTATAGAGTCTCACAATGATTTTGAAACAGAATTCTGGGAAATCCTGTAATTCCTTTGGAGTTTATGAATAACTTCTTAGTAAGGATGCAATCCTGAACATGTTTATACAGAAGAAAGTCCTACAAGCCAGCCGTGCAGGCTGGGGAATGCTGAAAATGGCAGGACTTTCTTGTCTATGCATGCAGAAAGACAAAAGACAAGATCGGTAAGGATAGACAAGCACTCAAAAGACTATCTGCCTAATTCTTCTAGTCTTTTATGATTTTATGTTGTATCCCCCCATACTGAGAAGGGAGTTGGACTAGATGGCCCCCAGGGTTCTTTGCAGCTCTAAGAGTCTATGCTTCAGAGTTGTCTGTGCTGTCATTCAAGACAGCTCATAGTGGGCCACAGCAAGACTAGCCTGCGTGCTCTGTGTGGACTGAATACGTACCATACTGGCTGCCCTGGCGTTTATTACAGCTCTCTGGAGTTGTGTAAGAGACAAGATGATGTGGAAAGTGTTCCCAAGTAAAGAAATGCTGGAGGCTCTTGGCCTTTGACAATGTGCAGTGCTTCTCATTTGAGAGAAGGGAATGCTTTATTAACAGGATGTTTGAGTGTGATATTTATGTCAACAAATTTATGACTGTAGAAATAGTATTATAAGTGGGCAGCTTTACAGACTGTATGTCTCTCTTCCCCAATCTGGTCCCTTCCAGATATGTCAGCCTACAACTCCCACAGTCCCCAGCTAGCATGGGCAATTGTAGGTCAGCCCATCTGGAGTCGCAGCCTAACATAACTGGTGGATTCCAGGTTATTGAAGGCTACTGTATTTGCTTTAATGCACTTTCTGGGAAAAGATGGGACACCGTCAGATGGGAACATGTAAGACTGGGTAAATTAGTGCAAGCTCTGGGAGATGGGGAATGCAGCTTCTGCCTGCAGGTTCCAGCACTCTCTCTCCCAAAAAGCATGTCATAGAAGACAACCATCCAGGGGTCAAGCTCAGCATTGTATTAAAGTACCAAGCTGGTATGGGGGTCCTGATAGACTTTGGACTGGTTGCTGGAAGTCTGAAGCCAAAGTGATACTGTGTGATAGGTCAGAAATCATAATAATATTGCTAAAATGTATATGTACAAAAAGCCTAGCCTGTTTTTTTTCCTAACCATGAAGCAGGTAATAATGACAATACTTGTTAAATGCTTGTTAAGGGGTTTTCACATCATTTTCATTTAGGAACCTCAGTAAAATGTCATGATATCTTATGGATCTCACAACCACATGCCTTTGCCCACCAAAGTAAACAACATAGGAAAAAGTCATAAGAACATAAGGAAAGTCATGCAGGACCAAGCAAGTGGTCCGTCCAGTCCAGCACTCTGTTCACAAGATGCCAAACCAAATGCCCACAGGATTCCTCAAGCATGATGGGTACAAGCTCAGCAACTGATGTTCACAGGCATGCTGCCTCTGTTAATGGAGGCAGAACATAGCCAACAAGGCTGGTAGCCATTGATAGCTTTCACCTCCCTGAATTTGTCCAGTCCACCTTTAAAGCTGTCGAAATTGGTGGCTATCACTACTTCCTGTCGCAGTGAATTTCATAGTTCACTGTGAAGAAGTACTTTATCTCTCCTAAATCTACCACCAATCGACTTCATGGGATGACCCATTGTCCCGTGGAATAGGAAGAAAAATATCATCCTCTCCACTTCCTCCACACCATGCATAATTTTAAACACCTCTGTCATGTCTCCTCTTACTTTCTTTTTTTCTAAGCACAACAACTCTAAATCTTGTAACCATTCCTTATAGGGGAGTTGCTCGAAGTCCCCCCCCCCCGTCCTTCTCTGCACTTTTGCCAACTCATTAATGTCCTTTTTAGGTGCAGTGGCCAAAATTGTGCACAATATTCTAACTGCAATCGCATGAAAAATTTGTATAAGAGGAGTACGACCTTGGCAGTTTTATTTTCAGTTCCTTCATACTAATAATACTAAATAATTTGTTTAACAATTAAAAAAATCAAAGAAAACATTTGTACTAATGATTGTAATTTGGAATATTTTTAAAGATGATTGGACAACTGGAAAATTTAGCCTTTATAAATGAACTAATGAGAGCTCTTTTTTTTTAATGTGAAACTTCAACTCGGTGACTTTGGCATATTTCTTTAATTCTTGTTCTGAGTGTTGATACGCACACATTGTGGTGCTTGAACAGAGAGAATAATTATTGTTAATATTAGAGTTAGCCCTTCCTTTTGAGAGCCCAAATGCAATCATATTTCCCTGATATACAAACCCAAACAAATTGAATTAAACAAAACTTTCAAGAGGTGTCACGAAATTAAAGCAAGCTGCGCGTTACTTGTGGATTTTCTTATTCTCCAAGTGAGACATGACAGGCTGACATAAAAAGGGAAAAGAGCATCCCAAAGTAGGAAGATGTAAAATTTCTGAGACCTGAGGGTACTTACGGAATGCTGGTTGAAAAAGGCAACTCAGCAGTGGCAGCTGATACCTACTAAGTGTGGTATCTACTGAGCCAAAGGCTCACCAGAGACAGCAAAAGGATGATGGTGAAGGTAATACCCTTTGAGCAGGAATCTTAGAACCCACCAGCAAATGCTGAGAGCATCAGAATGCATTTCTTTCTAAGTATAGCCTCTGAACTAGTGTGCTGCAAAATCCAGCTTACACATGTCTACTCAGAAGTAAGAAAGACTTAATTACTCAGGGGTAGGCATGGCCCACAAGCAGGGTGAATACCAAAACCCATCCTTTTGCATATAGTAATGAACTACTGAATCAGCTGCACAAAAGCACTCCTTTAGAGTTTCATTCTGTTCCAACAGCAACCCACGTTGCACGGAGAAGGAAATTCTATGCTCAGGAATGCAAAATGGTGGGTGGGGAAGCCACACAATTGCGCATGCCATACATTTATCTCAGTGATGTACTGAAAGTACATGCTCCTCCACCCGCTTGCACACACACACATGCTCCCCACCACCACCAGAAGACACAAAGACGCACTCGTTTTCATTCACCATGATCTCTCTCTGGTTAATATGAAGTTGCTGGTGGGGTATTTCTGTGTGTGTCCAGGAAGTAATTAACAAGGGGTGGTTCCTTTTTTGGAAAAGGTTAAGACCACTCCAAAAGAAACTCACTCTGAATCTTCTGCTGCCCAGTTGTGCATATTCTTTTCTTATAGAAGATACTTGAAAAAGTTATGGTAGGGCAGTTGTAAGCATCCTTGAAGCACCCTGATTGTCTAGATCTATTACTATATGCCCTTTACCTTGTTGCAGAACTAAACTAGCATTGTTTGCTCTGAACCTATCAAAACAGGATCAGAGCAAGTGTAAACCTGTTAATTGGGCATTGGTCTTTCTTACAGGGTTGATTTCAGAGTGTAGCACTGGCCAGCTTTTCCTTGTCTGCTTGGCAATGGATCTACAGTAGGGGTCCTCAAACTTTTTGAATAGGGGGCCAGTTGAAAGGCTTTTTGATGATCTACAGGGTTCAGCAGTTTACCACCTTGTCTCTAATGTTACTCAATGTCTATTCAGAGCATCTGTTAGGCAGTTTGGAGCCCCAGCTGTGCTCAGTATATTGATGACACACAACGCTATTTTCCTGTGACATCTGAATTGAGATGAAGCTGTGCACCTCCTGGATCAGTGCCTTAGGCTGTACAAACTGAGGCTGAATCCCAGCGACATGGAGGCGCTGCGTGAGGGGTTGTCCAGTCCATTGACTGTTCTGCATGGGATAGCACTTCCTGTTTTGGATGGGGTGCACTGCCGTTGAGAGATCAAGCGCATAGCCTAGAGTTATTCCGGGGCCATTCTTTCCGCCTGGAGGCCCAAGTGGCCATGGCAGCTCGGAATGTCTTCAGTCAGCTTTGACTGGCGTGCCACCTATTGCGCCTCCTAGACAGCAATAGTTTGGCTACCATTGTACAGGTCTTAGTAACCTCAAGAACTGAGGATTGGATTGTTGTCATACGCTCTACATGGGGCTGCCTATAAGGCTGGTTGGGAGGCTGCAGATGATTGCAGCTCAGCTGTTGTCAGGAGCATGTAGCACCTCTATTAACAGAGCTATGCTGGCTGTTATTTGTGAGTGCGGTGTCTCCCATACTAACCTGCCCCCATCTCTGGTGTCATCAGATGAAGCAGACATGCTGTTTGTGCATGGACCTTCAGTCTATTTGGAGTCAACTCACAGCAGAACCTTGAGTGTACTGAGGTCCCCCTTTCTGTGGAACTCCCAGCCTGTTGATGTCAGACAGGCATCAACATGGTTTCATTTTCAGCACGCTGCAGGCATTTTTATGTAAACAAGTCTTTGATGACGAGCCAGCCACAGTTTTATTAACATTTAAATCAGTTTAAAACACTGATTTTTTTCTTATTTTTCCTTTTTTATTTTAAGTGCTTGGGTATTTTGATGGAAGTTGCTAGGGAAGTTGTGTAAACAACATGGGATTCTTTTAAAAACATTCTTTTCACAGAGTTCATTCTGTATAGCCTGAAGTGCCTGATTCTGCCTAATCTTGGAAGCTAAGCAGGATCAGGCATGGTTAGAATCTGGTTGAGTGACCTGAGTGAATAAATCTATGATTATTGTTGTAAAGCACCAGAGAACTTTGCCTATGGGTGGTATGGCAATGATGGTAATTTTTATTATTATTATTATTATTATTATTATTAGTCCTCAATTCATTGGACTCATTCCTTTTGGCAGAGAGAATTCTAGCTGATGGACAGTTACTTTCGTTTCGAACAAGCAAACTTTGATAGCGCTTAAGGTTTTTAATTTATGCTTAATTCTTCATTTTAATCCTTAAATACAAGTGCTTCTTTTCTTTGACAAAGCTTTATGCACACAGTTCATGGGACTGCAACTACAGCTGCAGTAAAAGAATTTCTTTATATGTGGCCAGCAATGCCTGCTTTCTGACAGCTGTCAGAGTGGAACAGAGGGCCTGGCCTGGCCTGGCCTGGCCTGGCCTGGCCTGGCCTGGCCTGGAACAGAGGGCCTGGCCAACGGGAGCCCTACACTTTGTCATTGTGGTATTATGACATGCATGCAGAACTGGAGGAAGTGATAAGACCAGGTTGTGCGTGCACCTCCAGTAACGTTTTGCATACATTGTGCAGAAAGTATATCTGTATGACTGCGTAGAACTGTTCCTATGTCTAGGTCAATAGATTATCAGTTTGTCTACTGGGGTGATAATTGCTAAGAAGCATATATAACAGCAATAGGACATATAAGATATGCAGAGACAATATATAATAGCAATACATAATCAAAAGTTCTTGATATAGCACTGTCAGGATATCTGCCAATAATCATTTGGATTATTGCTGCTGTTAATTGAAAACTTGTATCTTGAAGGTCAGAGGTGGAGCACAGCTAGTGCCTACCTTCACCCGGCATTGTCCCGTCCAAACCTGTCAGCAGAAGATGGTACACTTGTAACAAAAGTTTTGTTTGAAGGTACCAAAGCCGTGGGTGTTGAATATGTTAAAAACGGAGAAAAGAAAAAGGTAAGATTCTTTTAATTGACTCTGCAGAGGGAGTAAAAATACCCGAAAATGAAATAGGTACTCAGTTGACATTAACATAAATTGTTATTACATCAGAGTTATCTCAGGCTGCTGTTCTGCTAGTAGCAGATGCATTTGGAGAAGTGAAATGGATACGGAAACCCTGGGATACGTTCATCCAGATGCACTGCTGTGTTCTGCCAGGGAGAAGGAGTGCGAGGCGCTCCGCCTGCTGATAGTGCCCGATATTCACTGGGCCCTTTGCACAAGAACCTAATCAAAACGGGGCCTGACTTGCATGTTTGAGACTTACACCGCCCCCCCCCCCATCATGAAAGTCTATGTAGACATAGCAGCTAGCTACCCACAGTTAATGAAAGTTGGTTGGCTGGTTGGTTTATTTAATTTTGAAATAAATGTTGCATTTGTTAGGGGACAAATCCTATACAAGTCTAGACAAAAACGGCTTTTTCTGAGTAAATACACTTTGTTTCCTAAATTTTGTTTGTTTTCTCACTTGAGGAGATAGTCTTTAAAATAATGCCTGCTGCAGTCTGTGTTTTGCACTTCTGTTTTCCATTAGATAAAAAGTATTTTTCTTCATAAAAATTTGCTTTACCAGTTGAAACTGTCTGTACTGTCACTTACAGGATTAATCAGTTATAATTGCTATAATTGGGTGACAGTCCTTTAGACAACTGCTCATATGGATGGTGTAAAGTCAGAAACAGGATTTCATTGACTGTTCAGATTGTCCTGCCTGGCTCCTTTCTCTCAGATCTTTTAATAATCTGCATTTTCATATTCTTTGTGTGCTGCATGTTTTTAAGTTACCTATTTTTATTCTCTCTGGATTTTTTTATGCTGGAAATCTGTTCCCTTAATTGCAGTATGTTGTGTTTTTCCATTTTGTTCTGTAATGTTTTGCTGAGATTGCTTGCTCTCAGATAGCAAGGCTTTGAGCAATTTAAAAAGTTAGAAATAAACTGGCTTTATGGTGATTACCATCATCTCCTCTTTGTTCCCAGAATCAGTTTGCTTACTTCTGAAGATGGTTTCATTCATCCTATTGTTTCTTGATATTTCTTCCATAAATTTGTCTAATCCATCTTAATTATGCTTAAAGCCATTGTCATGTCTTATAGCATGAGTTCTATAAATGGAATATGTTTTGGGGAAAAACTGTGTACTTTTTTAGGGAGACCTTGAATTTTAATATGATGATTGAGATAAAAATCACAATTATCTCTCAAAGCTCTTCAGTTCTTCCTTAGGAGGAAAGAAATATTAATAGCACTAAAAAAACCACTAATAGCACAAAAAAACCCACTAATGATGAATAACCATCATTCTGTTAACTTTTTAATATTTTGTCTAGCTTTGTGCTATCCCCCTTGATAGTTGTTTGGAGCGTCCTCCAGCATGCAGTGCCCTAAAAGAAATGCAGCATGGTGCTGCAGTATCTCATGTCAGGGACCTGAAAGATGCCATTTGTCATGGACAAGATTTGTATCACCAAATGGCTGCTGTTGGTCATCAGAAGATGGAACCAAATAATCTCCCATTGATCTGCAAAATGTGTATTCTTGCCACATAAAAGGGTCTTTCCATTAATGATGCTGGGCAGAAGTTGATGTGAATGAGGTTTAAGGCATGGCTGCTGTATTGGTGAGGTACTCAATTAATTCGGCCATCCTGATGATCTGCAGGCTTCTCATTTTTCCTGTCTTCAAAGCTGATTTGTCTCTCCTTAGATTACTTGCCTCAGAATAATCCCACTGACTTGGCTGCCATGATCTTGTTGTAACATTTGCCTTTGAAAAGTCTGTCCTAGTACTTCCCATTCGTTTCAGTAAAAGTTGTACTCAGAAATTCTTATTATCTAGAAACCAAGCAAGTAAAATCATGCACTGCTTACTCGGTAAAGACAGCTACACAAGGACACCTCTTCAGAAACTGTTCATTTGCTCGTTCACATTTATAGCCTTCCTCAGCCCAAAGGAAGAATAAATTAAGGGGAAAAGCTATATAAAACATCAACACTTAGAAAAATATCATTCTAAAAATAAACTGCATTAAAACACTGTTGCTTGGTAATTTAATGCTAGGCCCTAAACAAAAGTCCAAAAAGACATTTGATTTTTCCAAAATTTTTCTATGCTTGGATTTTGGTGAGGTTCTGAGCTTGGATTTTAGTTAATTTCCAAGAAAAGGCAGCCATGGAATGAATTTACACAAGTACATACACCTACGCACGTGCACGCGCGTGCACACACACACACACACACACACACACACAGAAAGAAACCGATAGGCCTTAAAATGGGCACCTAAAACAGGGTAGTTACCATCACAACATAGAATTCTAGAATACTAGAGTTGAATGCGGCCAGAGGGCCATTGGGTCCAACCAACAGTGCTCCAAGTTAAACTATCTCTCAGATAGCTGTCCAGCTACATCTTGAATGCCTCTAGTGTGGAAAAACCCACAACCTCCCTAGGGAATCAGTTCCATTATTGTACAGTCAGAACATTTTATATAAATTTATGTTTATATGCTTGTAGATTACCTGATTAACACAGCAGAAGTGGATCTGACCTGAGATTTAAATATATATTCTCTTCCTTAGCGTAGTGATCGTTTATGGCTGAAGAGTCATCTTTGTGCTCTCTGCTCATCACGTGTGCAGGCTCTGTGCCCACTTGGAGTCTCATTTCAGGGACTTCTGTAGCTGAGTAACTTGGCCCGGAGCCCTCCCCTCCAGTCTCAGTGCACGTGTCCCCACAGGTTCCCTTGGTCCTCTTTGGACCTCCATTGCGGTGCCCTCGTTAGGGAACTTTTCTGCATCCAGGCAATGTGAAAGCATTTTCTTTTTCCTTTCTCTTGTTCTTTAATCTCTTCTTGTTATTATTTCTTGATTATTTATGTTCACTTAGGCTGGTGGACATTCTTTGTGTCTTTTTTGCCTTGAAGAGAGGCATAGGTAGAACTCGGCACACTTTGCCAGTCTTTCAATGAATGAGCCTGACGGAGCCAACTCTTCTTTGGAAAATGGGCAATGGAGGCTGTGGAGCAACCGACAGAAACTGTGGGCAACCCTTCTAGCCATCCTGGGCATGGGTCTGTCCCATTTTGTTACTGTGTTACTTCTAGAGAGCACAACCTCTTCTTTGCCTTCACGGGGACTATACCAATCAAAAACTTGCTACGCACAACCACTGACTGCTTGCAAGAGGAATACCCTTTTATGGAGAGAAGAGCCCCCTTGTGGGTAGAGAAGAATCGATACTCTTGGGAACTGTGTGGTTTAGAACCAATAGAAGCCTTTGGCTCAAGACTGAATCAGTTCATGCGGATGACGCAGAAAACTTTAGGAAATCCGATCAACCCTGGTCTTTAGGACACAGCTGCACAGCTGTCACCCATTTCTCTTTGACTAATGACCTGGCAGATGTTAAGCAGTCATCTCAGACCGGCAGTCTAGAATCCAGAAATGCTGAGCCTCAGGTAATCAGTACAGAAATTGCCACAAATAGGGCACAGCTCTTTCCTGAAAGCGTCCTTTTGTTTTTCGTTTGGTTAAAATCAAGTGGATTTATAATCAGTTTTCTTTTATTTCAGGTTTTTGCTAGTAAAGAAGTTATTTTAAGTGGAGGTGCCATAAATTCCCCACAGCTACTTATGTTGTCTGGAGTTGGAAATTCAGATGATCTCAAAAAATTAGGAATCCCTGTTGTCTGCCATCTTCCAGGTTCGTATGGAATAATACGTATCTCCTAATGATACACAGAGTTGTAATTCAGCTTTGCAATGATTGGATCGAATAAAGATCTGCTTGCACTGATGAGGGCATGCTTGCTTGCTTGCTTACAAGTAGGTGGGCTTTTTATCGTTTCTCCTAGGAGTTGGACAGAATCTCCAAGATCACTTAGAACTGTACGTGCAACAGGAGTGCACTCAGCCTGTCACATTGTACAACTCACAAAAGCCCCTTCAGATGATCAAGATTGGTCTTGAATGGCTCTGGAAATTTACAGGTACAATTTAAACACGCCTAGTTGTGCTTTCTTTCTGACAGGGAACCATACCAACTTTTCAAATAAAAAGCCCATCTTGGCAGGAATTAAGGTACCTCCGATGGATTTGATCCAGACACGGGTTTTGAAGTGTGGAAGGAACAGGGCTGGTGGAAACAGACTTCTGCAGCTGCTTCATCCTGTGGAAGATGCTGCACAGAGGGTTAGATGCCTCTGCTGGATGGGGTGGGCTGTGATGCAGTGGGTGGATGGGAAGGGGGATCGTAAACATAAGGCAGAAGCATTGCATGAAAACTGACACAGTCTTACTGACCTTCCATGCACTCTTATTATGCTGGGGAAATGCGCAGTATGTGATGTGCACACTGGGAACTGCATCCAGGCAATGTGAAATGTGCCATGAATTTTTAGAAGTCTGCACTCCTCCATACCTTGGAAAGATAAACTATAGCAAAGACTGAAAAGGCATATTGTTGCAGTACATCATACACAAAAGGACTTACTGACCTTTTTGGGGAGGATTTCATTGTGCATCCAGAATCTACATGAGTCCTGCTTTATTTCACTGTATCCAGAAGACTTCTCCCTGATTCTGCATGCATCTTGTTATAGCTGCTTACAGACATGTTGCATTCAGTCAGCAGCTCTCTATCCCTCCCATCCAGATTTGATTCTCTGACATGTAAGCATCAGCGTACTTCAGCTCTTCCACACGTTCTCCCCCAACAACAGCACCTTTCCATGCAAGGAAAAAGATACCTGGAAAGATACCTGAGCTTTCCCTCAGCAGCCTGGAGCGGTTTATTCATGCTAACCTCCTTGCACCAAACAGGAAGTAATAGCAATGGAAATTTTTTAGAACCCTGCAACTTGATTCACAGCACAAAATACTTGGAAGGGAAGTTCAAAGATGTGTCAGGACCACATCACAAGGCAAAGGGTAGGCCAGCCTTGCACCTGAGCAGGCTGGTTTTGCACTGAAGCAGATAAGGAATCGCACCTTGTAGGAAGGCTTTCATCTATGACTGGCAAATAGCGCATGCTTTGTTTTTCAGTGAAACCTTCCTTCAAGAAGTTTGCTGCCGCCCACTCCTTTCCGAGGAATCACAGAACATGTCATTTGGTCTTAAAATATCTGCCTCTGTTCAAATATCTGGTTTTATTTTTGTCTCATGGAATGCCTTAAGTGTCAGCACTTTACCGTAAGGGGGATGCACCAGTAGTTTTTCTCAGTTTTAAAATCAGATAGTGATGAGTGAAGCGGACTTGGTGTGGTCCAGCAAAGTTATGCCCTTTGGACCTCAAGTGCAAAGCTGAATGCAAGAAGACAGAGGAGAAGCTGACTTTTGCGAAACGGTGGCCAGTCTATTTTGCAGAGCATGGGGTAGCATCCTGTGATGAAATTTGCTTTTTCTGATCCCAGCTCTTTCCTCCGGCATGCTTTCTGAATTTATTCAGGTAGTGGCGCCACTGCTCACCTAGAAACTGGTGGATTCATTAGAAGTCAACCAGGAGTTTCCCACCCAGATATCCAGTTCCATTTCCTCCCTTCTCAGGTGATTGACCATGGGCGGGTTCCTTCTCAACGTGAAGCGTATCAGGTAAGTGGCACAAGAACTCCGGTCAATGTGCAGCAGAGCTTACCTGCCCACCGAGCAAAACTATCACAGACTGTGCTGGAGCAAGGCTGCTTTACATGTAAAGGAAATTTAAAATTAGATTCTGTCCTTGGAAGCTCCTTTGAATCTCATCAGCACCACCATTGCATAGAGGCTTCAATCAGATGCTGCTGTTTCTCTTGCATTATGGCTTTGTAAACAGCGATAGTGCCACCACACTTCCCAGTAAGGAGGCGCACTAATATTGGGAGGGTGGGTTGTTAGGATTTTTCAGAGCCCAGCTCCTCGCTCCTATGATCTCGGGGCTGCTTCTGAAGGCCACACCCCTGCTCTGCCATCCCATCTCTGCAGCCGGCACCGAAAGAACTGGGTCAGCTGCCTCTCCATGAATGCAGCTGGGCTTTGGAGAAGCAGGAGAAGGACATGCCGGCGGGGAGGGAGGGGGCTGATGGCCTGCACTGATTCCTTTCCGTGCCCCAGGCCCCTCTCCCCGATGCTTATTCGAGATAGTTGAGCATGGCCGTCTAGCAAACACACACCCTTTGAGGCTGGCTGCAGCAAAGCCGTGCCTCACGCCATGTGTTGGATGAATGCGTCTGCAGCAGCGCCCCTGGATTGGGACCTAAAACGATCAAAGTGTGGGAGCAACTCCACAAACAGAAAAAAGTTCCTACAGTTAGAGAAAAGGGGAGCAAGGGAAAATGCAGGGGTACAAATTTGCCAGCAAGTGGAAAAGAGGACATTTTTCTCCCTTGCAGAATACTAGAACCCAGGCTCATCCCATGAAATTGAAAAGTGGGATGTTCATGAGAGAGAAAAGGAAGCTCTCCACACGTAGCGCATAAACTGTGGAATTCACTGTCAAATGATACGGTGGTGATTCCCAATTTGGATGGCTTTGAGAGGGAATAAGATGCATTATTGGAGGAGATTATCAGTGCTACTGTCTGCATCATGCTCCCTACAGTACTGGAGGCAGTATGCTGGGGAACATGGGCTGGAGGATGCTGCTGTGGCCGTGTCCTTCGTGGATTTCCTGGGCAGCTGGTTGGCCACTGTGTGAACAGAATGCTGGACTAGATGGACCCCGGGTTTGATCCAGCAGGACTCTTCTTGTGTCTTATTAATGCATGATGTAATCCATGCTAAAAGCCTTCTGTCACTGCTAAATCAGGGTCCTTGCATTTTATAGTAAAAGAAATTTTACTTATTTGTGAATCCATTGGTGCTCCTACCTTATTTTCCTGGCTTGTTGACCAGCATTAAGTGAGAGTTCCCTGGTTTGCATGTAACGGAGAAGTCTGGCTTAAGATAAATGAAGATCTTTGTGATTATCCAAAGCAGCCCATACGGTGTAAACAGCTTACAAGACAATCCAAATTCAGACTTTCTGTTAGTTCAAAAAGAGCACAGAGATGGCATGTTTCAGCACATTTGGTTTTTCAGGTGCATATTGGGCCCATGCGAAGCACCAGCATTGGCTGGCTGAAGCTGAAAAGCACAGACCCCAGAGAGCATCCCATCCTCGAGCCCAACTATTTGTCAGCAGGTAATTGTCAAGCCATCTGTGCTTTGTTCTTTGTCCGTTTCATAAAGTCCATTATATGTAACTAAATGCTCTTGCACTTACCTGTGGACAGTGTTGCTTACCTGTTCCTGTTCCTGTTCCATTCACCCATCCAAAACGGTGTAGGTTATGGCAGAGTTTGCTACTTACTTCCATCAAACGTGTAACAAATGTTCACAGTAATTATTAAATGTTCTCATTACTAAGTGGATGGAACTCCAGTAGAGCCAAGTTATCTAAAGCAGGCAGGGAGTATCCTTTTCACTCAAAGGCTAAATTCCCATTTGGGAAAGTTCTCCTTGGCTGGATCCCATCTGAGTGGAGGCCAAAGGCAAAGGGGGGAAGCACCGGAGTGGTGGTGTTACTGACTGGAACCCTGCTCAGAGGTAGACCATGCAAAGACGTAGACCATGCTCAGGTAGACCTGCTCAGAGGTAGACCCTCCCCCCCCCCCGCCTCCTCAGACATAAGCAGGGCAAACATCTGCAGAAGAAGCTTTGGGGTGAGTGGGGAAGATTAATTCAGCAGTTTTTTTCTCCAGGTGCTGCCCCTTCTCAGGAGGGAGAAGTTGGGCGATACATGAAGGGGCCCTTTCCCGGTGCTCAGCTGGTTGAGCTTTTTATGCTAGAAGAGGATCAAAGCCTGTGGATGGAAGCTGATGGACTAGAGGAGGAACTCCTGCAGGCCTCATTTAACCTGTCAGCTTTCCCTTGCTTGCCCTTTATCTAAAGAGATCCAAGGCACAGTGATTACAAAATGGTCACAGTCTGTGCCCAGAAGTGTTGCTTTAACGAGTCCTTTGCAAATACTGTCTTTGCAGAGCCTTCTGGGCCAACTGGAGTTTCCTGAACTGGTGCTTGCAAAACTTGCCTATGCCAGTCCAGAATCTCTGATATGCACACCAAGCTCTCATGCCTTCATGGCATGAAGTCAGGGCTGTTGTTAAGCTTGAAAACATTCAGTTGTCTGACTCGATCACAAAATAAATCTAGTCATTGGAATGAAACGCCAATGGAGCCATCTCGCCTGCGCCAGGGAGGGGAATTATTTGACTGACGACCCACCAAGAGCCCTTCCACTTTGACCCAGCAGAGCAGGTGGATGGTGGGGGCTTTTTTCCTTTTCCTGGAAAATTGTCCAGTGTTGTTGTTCTGAGCAAAATCCACATTCTTAAATAAGTGGTTGATAGCTTTTTCTGGATAATACTGCTTTCCATCGCAACCTCTAGTACTCTAGGTTAGTTTGGTTTATTTGTCTTAACTGCAGAAACAGAAATTTTGGATATTACGCTGAGAACTGTTGCCCTTTCTTTTCCTTTCTTTTCCTTTCTTTTCTTTGTTTACAGAAAGAGATATGTGGGAGTTCCGTCAGTGTGTGAAGCTAGCTAGAGAGATATTTGCCCAGGAAGCCTTTGATAAATTCCGTGGACCTGAAATTCAGCCAGGAAGACATGTTCAGACTGATGGAGAAATAGATGCTTTCGTGAGACAGAAGGCTGATAGTGCCTACCATCCTTCGTGCACTTGTAAAATGGGGCAGAGTTCGGATCCTAATGCTGTGGTTGATCCCCAGACAAGAGTTATAGGCACAGAAAACCTCAGAGTTGTTGATGCTTCAGTCATGCCTAGCATTGTCAGTGGGAATTTAAATGCCCCAACCATCATGATTGCAGAGAAGGCTGCTGATATCATCAAGGGGCTGCCATCACTTCAAGAGAAAAATGTCCCTGTGTATAAACCGAAAACTTTGGAAACACAGCGCTAGGGAGCTGCAATTTTCTCTCTGGCATATAGAAGTCTAGCAGTACAGTCCTATGTGGATGCCCATCACCTTCTCTACTCAGAAGGTCACAGTCATCCTGTGGAGTGCAGGAGAAGCAGGCAGACCAGGGTTGCCTCCATGCTCCCCTCACCCTCGAAAGCATGTTGCCCCTTCTCTTAAGGAAGAGGGGCTGGATTGGACAGAAGCTGGTGGAGTGCCACCTTGCCCCACCTGCTGGAATGCCCCCAGCACCTGTCCTAAAGACAGTCTTCTATTTCTGGGGCCTCCACCAGACTGGCTGAGAGGGTTGAGGGAGGCCCTTCAATGGCAGAGTTGCCACTGTGACCTTGGAAGAGTTTTCTGAGGTCACAGTGAGCCTCTGTCTTTGCTTATGGCCAGCTAGACAGTATCTGCCAGCCGCAGGCCAGGGCCCTGAGCATCTTGCCTTTACCTTTGCCATGAGAATGAGTATCAAATGCAACATCTTTCAGTTTATCTCTTGAAATTGCTTTATAATCCACTTTCTGTCAAATAGGATTCGGTGTGTAATGGAAGTTGTTCAAAAGGTGTTGGCTGAATCCTCTAGTAATAAGAGGGAAAACCTGTTATCCCAGAAATGATCGAGTAACAACATGGCTGATTCAGCTAGATATTTATTAGTGTGTATAGCAGGATCTTAAGATGGACTTGACCTCAAATCTTGAGTAGGCCTTTACATAGCTGGCAAAACAAATGCAAACAAGTCAAGGTGTAGTTGATATGCTTTGACCTTACATTACCACAAGTGCAATTTTGTATGAGGTTTCTTCAGATCTACATCAAGTATAGTGCAGAAAATGTAAATAGTGGTCATTGGTTCAATACCAATAGTAAAGTGCACTCCAGAAAAACAAAATTCCATTGAAGTTCATGGAATAAGAGAATTCATTCTCTCTCAAGCTCTACTGTAGTTTTTAGTCCCAATTAAATGTGTTGGATTTACCAAATGTGTGGGCATTGACCAAAATGGTTTTCTTGCTATTAGAGAATAGTCTTTACACTGGCCCATGCACAAAACAGCTGATTTTAGGCAAGTGATCTCAGATATTTTTAATTCTAAATATAGCTGAACATTTTTTGATGTCATGATTCTGCACTTGAAAGTAGCTAATATATCTTTAAAAATGCACAAAAGTAGCATACAAACCAAATGATTTTAAGTAGAGGAGTGATTAATAGGAATAGCAGGTTACATGATGGCCGCCTGATGTGAAGAAGATCAACTGGCAGAGGCTGTGGAGGGCATGGCCATGACTGACAAGCTGAGGGTTGGTTGAATCCTGCAATCAGGCTACTATTAGCAGGTCCGTTTGTACATTGCTGTGTGCAACAGGTCGCACAAGGTTTAGTAACTCGGTCATTTATGATGGGAAACTATGCCCTTAACCTGCTTTGAGATAAATTTTACTAGGCAATAAAGTCAGTTCAGGAGCGTAATCAGTTAAAGGCAAGGAAGAGACAGCTAGGGATAATCACAGACTCTTTCCTGATAGTGGTTATCACCATGCCTGAACAGTATTTTAGTCAAGCTTGGAAGGATAGCCTCACTGTTATTTCATGCAAAAACTCCCATTTCCTGTCTGCGAGGAATGCAAGAGATTCTCATTAGCGCCCACGGGGCATGTTTGCCCTCTGTGTCCACTCCCATTCCATCTGTTGCTAAGACTGGAGGGGGCAAAAGTGAGTGCTAGATTTCCTATAGGACGGGAATCTTGGCTGTTGCAGGAATGGAGTATTCACATTGTGGCAATAAATCTGAACTGTGCCTTTTCGAGAATAACCCAAACCTCTGATGAAGACAACTAGCATACAACTAGAATTTTAATGGTTATATCTTGCAAGAAATGTATATGAAATGAAATGAAATTTAATCTCTGAACCATATTTGTTGCTAATTGTAACAAAGGTTGCCATTAAAAGGTTTTAATTGTTCATCACTAAATATTCCATTTTGTCATTTTATTACCTGGCTTTCAGTTTAAGATACTTTCTAATAGCAGCCTGCTGTCATCACTGCTTGATCATTTTTATAAATTAGGGTGCAGTCCAGTGTCCTGCACTCCAGAAGCACATGAGCCTCTGGGGCTTGGAAGCACTCAGTGCATGAAGCAAGGTGCAGGCAATCAGTGCGGCTGCCATGCCTCACCAGGGGCATAAAGACACAGCGCGCTATTAAAATGCAATCCTAAACCCAAGACATAACATGGGACCCAGTTCACCTGTTTGTACACACAGCAGCAGGTTGCGCACACCTGTCAATGTAAAGCAAGAGTGAGCTTTGCCCCCCCCCCCCCCCCCCCCCGGAAACTGGTTGCCCTTATTAACATAGCTGAGCATACCAGCTGTGGCTCATGCACAGTGTCTGCTAGCAAAACTCTCACCACTTCATGTATATGTGAGGTGGCTTTGGTTTGGTTTTGCTTAATTCTCCACCATACCATATCCAGGAGAGGTCTTGCCTGCAGCAGAGTGCAGTTCTGCATGCATTCAGAATGACTACTGAACTCAGCTGAAATATGGCCTGTTCATACATGCATGCATGTGGTATCTGTACTTGTCTTCATTATTTCTTTGAAGCCATTTCATCCTGTTCCTCTGCCAAAAAGTTTCCCCAGGTGAGGGACGTAAAAAAGCAAGAGGAGACAGTCCCTGGGCTCAGGCTCATGTTCTGAAAGGCACAATGTAAAAGGAAGAGGTGCTGCAAGGCAAGACAAAAACTCCAGCACACGCTCCTACTTTTATGGAATTTAATGACCAGCTGTGATGAAAACAGTTTATGGAACCAGACTCTGCAGAGCTAATGGAGCATCCCTGCATCCCTCTTCCTCCACAGCAGAGACCTGGGGGAGAAACTTGCTGGACACTGGACTTCACAACTCACAAGAAGTTTCTTGACTACAGTTTGCGGTAGTCCTGACCATAGGCCATGTTGTCTGGGAATGAGGAAGGTTGAAGGTCAAACCCTCTGGATGAGCCCAAGTTGGGGACTGCTGCTGTAGTGGACAAGCTTTGGGTCTCAGCCAGCATGGCTCTTCTTAGGTTCTTAGGAGGCACTTAAAGGCACTCAGCAGAACTGAGTGCTTGATGTTGCAGTTGCTTTTGTGGAGCTGGCCCTGTTGGAAAGTGTTTGCTTTTGAACTGACGTGATGTGAAAATGTGTCTGACCCTCTCATCTGTTGGCCTGTTCATACCTGTTCACACCCTCATGTGCACACTTTCAAGGGAGGGCTGAATCTGCCCTCCTGAGTAAACATGCAGATAATTGGTCTGGAAGCTTGTTTGTGCATATGAATCATCCCCAGAGCCAAACAATGCTCCCTCTTAACTTTGGTACTAGATACATAAAGGCAAAGAATGGAATTGCTCTGTCATTACATAGCACCCTGATAATGGTCAATACAGCAAATAGCTTGAAGCAGGACATGGGCTGAGTGGAGCCAGCAGCCTGGTTTGCAGTCCAAGGGTGACATGCTAATGCTACTATCAGATCATGTTAATGAATTAGTTGCATATTAAAACAAGGAATTACTTTTCAGTCAATTCAACATGCCACCTCAGTAAATAAAGCATTTCATGAAAAGTCTTCTGGAACTGTTAAAGCAAAACTGCTTAGCCCAGAAAAATGGACAAATAAAAAAAAATTCTGACTAGAAAAAAAAGAAGGGATCCTAGCTGGAGGGACAACTGCATATGCTCCCGAGCAGGTCCTGCTACCTGGTGCTGCTGCAAAGCAGTAAAATTGTGGCGCGTTGGAACTCATCAGGGAAAAGAAGGGCAGGTTGGAATAAGGATGCTACTGAAGAGAAAATGTGACTGCATGAGCCCTGTCCCTTAAGGAATCAGGTAACTCGTTTCTGTGATAGATGTTCTTTCTTGAAATAGAGAATAACATAATTTACTCAGCATTATAAAATGTAAAAGCTCATATCCATCAATGTGAGGTGTATATTCTTTAAAAATGCAGACTTTCAGCTTGTAGAATGGCAGTTTTTGTGTGCACGTAGCACGTTCAGGGAATCCTGGCCAGCAATGTAGCACATTATTACCTTTAGGGCTTTTAAGTGGCAGAGATTGTCAGAATCATGTTAGATTTATTGTCCCACTGTGATGTGACTGATGGGAGCCCCATTTTAAAATACAGCATCTGACTCAAAGCTGCTGTGTGTGAAGATCAATGCTACTGCATGCCATGCTTACCAGAAAGCAGGAGTCATTTCCATGATTGTAGGTGATTCTCACTGCGTTATTCTCTAGTATGTAACAGATCCATCGATTATTATGAACCCAACAGCACTGAGTGGCATAACCTTGGATGATATATTCCCCCCATGTTTCGTTTAGGATTGCTTTTACTGTCATGGCAAATACTGTTTTCTCTGTTCTAATCCACTCATTTGCCTGAATGCCTAACAATGCCTGGGAGCAATTATTAATCACCTGAAATGATCTCAACATTTGATATCCTTCACCAATGTCCTATTTGCAGCATGCTGATGTAATTACAGAACATACGAAACAGTCTGCTGGAAGCTTAAGCCAGAGGGATGGAGTGCTAAAGGGATGGGGCAAGCTTGCATGTGCTGACCCCAAGAATCCCTGGCTAGGTCGTAGATTGCAAACGACTTCAGCAAGTCTGGGGGAGAACCTCTAGTTCTTGTGTGTTGCACTCCTGCTCCCATATCAACTGCAGGAGAAAAGAAAAAGACTTAACAGCTACAAAACGGATGCTCAAAAGTGTCACATTCTGCTTAAAATCAACCTATAGATGACATGCTAATTTCAGGCTGATTTTTTCCTCTCCTCCTGCTTTACTGCCAAATCTCAGTGGTACCGGCAGCAGGAGGGGTAGTGGGGCCATGGGAAGGGCCCTGCTGCCTTCCATGGGAGGGGCTTGTCTTAAATCTTTGCATGCTCAGCACAGCCATCTAAAAGGTGCTGTAACACATTCAGTGAAACACACTTGCCCAGCTCCTGTGATCAGGCACCTTGATAAAACCCCTTAGCCATATTCCCCATTTCACAACCTCACCAAAACCCTAACCCTCTCCTTACTTTAGCCACGCAGGCAAAGATCCACACAGGAAATGTTGGAAGTGTTGAAGAGAGGGGAAGGATGAACTATAAGTCCATATTTTTGTACCACTGTTGTCTGTAGTGAAACTGGTGTACTTTTCAAGCGCTCCAAAACATGCAAAAATTGGGAACAGAGATGGTAGTAGGTCAAGCAAAAATAGCTGTGTTGTACCATCATCATATTTATGAAATACCATTTTTAATTTATTTACAAAGTGCCTTAAAAACCCTGTACATGACACCAGCATTTAAGCATGTATATTATACTGTTAATTTCTTTTCAAAACAGAGAAGAAAAGTATTTTAAAAATCTAAACTCCCAATAAAGGTACATTCTTGAGGTACAATGCAAGTTGGGTGAGCAGCAAAGAACCTTCCAGGCATATATGGCTAATTAGTCATATTGCAGATACTAGACATCAGAGTTCCACTAGCATTCTCAATAGGTAGACTCTACACACACACGTGCACACATGCGTGCGTGTGTGCGGGGAACTAGAGCAGTCCTTGGCCTTACATGCCTTTCACCATCTTGAGCAGAGCCTGGAAGCTGAAGACACATGAGGTCTCCACTCAATTTTGTTAGAAAAGACTTCCTGATGCTATAAGCAGAGTTCAACAGGGAACACTTGTTCAGCAGTACTTTCTCATGTTTAGTTGAACACTATTTGAAGATACCACAATTTGATATGATTTGAAGCAAAAGAGAATGGATTTGCTCTGTCATCCATGCGACAGCCCTTCAAATAGTTGAAGCAGTTTTCATTTAATTTCTTAATCATCTCTTCAATAGGCTAAACATACGCAGCTCTTTCAAGCATTTCTCATAGGATTTGCTATTCAGGCCCCTCTGTATATATTTGAGTTTGTCAACATCCTTCTTAAAGTGCACTGCCCAGGAGTGGTCACAATACATCAACTAAATTTTAACCAAAGCAGAATACAGTGGCAGAATTACATCTTGTGATCTGGACAATGTTTATTGTGGCCTACAACTGCATCAGTCCCTTTAGCTCTTTGTACCTCCTAGCTGATTTGTGCTTAGCTTGCGCTTGATGAAAACCTCTAGATCCTTTTCATATTTGTCATGGCCAAGTCGCATATTCGGTGCATCTCACTTTTTCCTACCTCGATGAAACTTTACACTTCTCTGTTGAAATTCATCTTAGTGTTGGCTGAGTTCTCTATCATGTCAAGGTCATCTGGAATCCTTTTAATTTCTTCAAGTGTTAGTTACCCATCCCAGTTTGTTCCCCCCACGCCCCCTGCAATTTGGAGCATCTTGTGCATAAACATTATATTAAGATATTGATCAACACTGGGTCCAGGACAGAATCCTGTGGAACCCCAGTTGTTCCTTCTCTTCTGGTTGGTGAGGAGTCATTGAATAGTCATTAATGAGGAGTCCTTGGTGAGCAGTCAGCAACAAACCCACTAGATTCTTCACAGTGACACTGTACGATGCCAAAGGCCTCAACTTCAAGGAAAACCAACCCAGGAGAGGATGCCTACATTTGTGAAAGTAGAAGCAACAAGCATTTATTTCTTTATCCTGCAGCACTGCCATTCCCAGCCTGCTGCCCTCAGGTCTTGGACCGCAGCTCTGCTCATTCTCAGCCAGTATAAAGGGAATGGAGGTCACCTGGCTAGGGAAGACTGTGCTATAGCACATGGCAAGTAATTCCACTGAAGCGAACCACATGGTTCCCGCAGATTTCAACGGCATTTGTGCAAGAGAACCTCCGCATGGATAATGCCCATGGTGGTCAAGGGGAAATGTTCCAAAGCACAAATCCACATTTCTTTGTATTTTACCATATACAAGAAGAAAC